TGAACCAGAGGAGGGTGGGGGGGGGGGGGGGATTGGGGGGGGGAGACAGCCCACTTACACTTCTTGACGGTTGAAACCTGATCAAGGAATGGGTGGTTGAAGAAGGCATCTGGAAGACAGGAAGGGGAAGAACAAGCCAGGTTAGCCGTAAAAGGGGGACCAGGAAGGAGCTGTCAGGCGGAGGAAGGGGCTGGGCACCGATCCGGCCACGCAAACGCTCAGGTGGGCGGATGGGCACCCACCCCACTTCGCCGAGGCCTCGAAGATCTTGCCACAGGTTTGTTCCAAGGGCAGGAGCTGGCATTCAGCTTGGGAAGAGAGGCACCATCCATCATTTTAAAGACCGGAGCTAAGTGAAAAGACCAAAGACGGATACTTGAAAGTCCATTTCCTGCAGTCGGCGGTTTGGGAAGCGCCGGCTGTCTTAAATGAAACGCTTCCCTCTTTGTGAGAAATGCCAACGAGGTCCTGGCAGCAATTTCATTTCCACGGTCGAGGGCACAAATGCCGGCTGCCACGTCAGGGCATGCGAAGGCACTTCTGGCCACCCTACCTGCCTTTTCCTGAAGGGCTTTTTGAGTCACACAGAAACTGGACGCGTCCCGATGGGGTGCTTGAGGACGAGAGCCGGAGGGCGGTGGCCATACCGAGAAGGCGACAAACGCAGTGGCGGCTGAAAACTCTTTGGTCTTTAGCCTTTTGAAATTTCAGAATCAACACGGACATCTCTGGGAGGAATTCGGCAGGAAAGGCCCCCTTTTCCATACTTTTCTGGCTGGCTCCCAAAACAACCCTCCCTGGCCTGCAGACGGGGAGTTCTCTCCCCCCCCATGCCTGCAGCTGTGTTTGTGAGCAAACAGCCACAACCTTTCGACCCTGACCTCCTGGATCGCAAGGCGGGGAGCAGTTTAAAAGAAAAGGTTAATGAAATCCACTTTGAGAAACACGAGGCAAGGTGTGTGTTGTGTTTGTGGCAGCAGGAGGGGCCACAAGGGAGGAATTCCCTCCCAGAGCCACCCCTCCTGATGGGACTTTCTGTTTGTACACACGGGGCTAAAGTGCTGACGAAGCCGGGAGACGGACGATCAACAGAGAAGCTGCCAGACCGGGATGTTCCTATCCAAAGCTCAAAGCAAACAGGAGCCCAGGTCCTCCGCAAGACTTCGCAGCTATGAAGCTCAGACCCTGGAGAGCTTTTCAGCTGGTTGCGGGGGGGGGGGATCAAGCCACCAAGGAGGAGGGGTTCTGCTGTCCCCGGTCGGAACACCATGTCCTGCAACTTGTAAACCTCTCGGTCTTCTCTCTCGCGTACGGGACGTACCGCCCAGGGCCCCAGAGAACCGCCGGCAGGAGCAAAGAGGGAGCGTGTTCACGGTCGTCCCGAGGGACGCCAGCCATGCCCCTCCGTCTTCGTAGGACAAGCCACAAGGAGGAGCACCGAATCCCTGCCAAGGACTGGCGGAGGCCTTTCTTTACGATGGGCTGTTCTCAGAATGGGAGCCCAGGTCTTCTGGATCCTAGTCTTAACACGCCTTAACCACACCACTAGGCCAGCTGGCTGGCTCATCCCAGGTGGAAGACTCCACTGAGCCACGCAGCTCCCAGGATGGCCTCCGGACCCATCGCACACGTCTCCACTATAGCCTGGTCTACCTCTCAAGGTTGTTGTTGTTGAGAGGACAGAACCGGAGGGGAGGCGTCACATCCATGGCTCTCAGCACACTGCAGGAAACCCAGAATACAGCTGGCAAATGACTCAGGGAACGATTAAAAAAAAGAGGTTACTTACCTGTAACTTTGGTTCTTCGAGTGGTACTCTGTGAATTCACACTAATGGGTTAATCTGCAGGAAACCCAGAATACAGCTGGCAAATGACTCAGGGAACGATTAAAAATGGGCCTTGCACACATAAACACACACACACCGCCCGGTCCTCCCTCCCTCTCTCTCCAAACGTGCCATATTGGGCAAGGCTATTGTGAGAAGATAGGAAGCGATCGCTGGGATCTGCCAGCCTGAGCCCGTTGAAGAGAGGGTAGCTGATCAGGGAGACCAACCCCTACAACATCCACACGGCCTCTCATAACAGGAGTGAGAAGAGCAGAAAAACAGGGGCCTGCTCCACTACATCTTCTCTACCTGAAGTTATTTTTTGCCTGTGAAGTCAGAAAGGAAACCATGCCCTTCCGGAAAGAGAGCATCTCCAGACAGAAATCGTGAAAAGACGGCCCCAGAGGGACCATATGCCCCTTACCGCATTTCACTTGGAATCTCAAGAAGCTGCTATGACGACAACGGAGTGGCCGGGCGGCCTCTGAGCGGGTGAGCTTGTTTCCTGATGCCCTAAGATCTATTTCCATCAGCCCATTTAAAAAACAGCAACAACCCAGCACAGCTATATAAACCTTTATTCAAAGCACACCCAGAGCTGGTTCCATAAAGCAGTAGGAACCAGGGCGGGTTGTTTATTTCCTCCTTTCAAAATATTTTCACCCTAATCCTTTTTCCTTTGAAAGGACCCAAGGTGGATTGCATCATTAAAAGACAAAGCTAAAAATGGGAAATATACAAATATTCAAAAGAATCAAACACACACCACATTAAAAACGGTAAACAAAATCAACCTCAAAAACAGATTCAAAGCAAGAAGGCACAACAACAACCCATTCAAAAACCTCTCTCAGACAGACAGTTGTTCAGGGAATGCCCGTCTAAAGAGAAAGGTCTCCGTCGGCTTTTGGAAGGACAGCAAGGATGGGGCCAGCTCAGAAACATAAATGGAATTTCAGGGCCTGCAGCTGCCATCCGTTGCCAAAAAAGGAGGGAAGACAGCCTGCTGGAGATTCAACTGCAAGGAATCAAGTTTCTTCTGAATTCACTCACATTTGTGCTGCTAACATTTATGTGCATACACCAAAGATGGGAGGTAGAGAACTTACTGCTGGAAATTTGACCAAACAGGAAAAAAATCCCCAGGGTTCCACTGTTCAGTGGACAACTTTCAACTTCTAAAATAAAGACAACTCTTTACAAACCTTCCTTAGCAACCAGAAATGGAGACTAAAACCCAGCATAAATATGAAACGTTACTAGAGCTGACTCCTGCGACGTCAGGAGAAGAAAGTGAAAGGACAAATGCAGACAACAACACAGTGTAACATTTGCACTTGACCGCTTTACCAAAAAGGAACATGTCAGCATTTCCCAAGGTCTTTAAATCTCAACGCACCTAAAATGAGTAGGCGTTTGTGCTCTGTTTCAAATGTTTCCAGCAAACCTACACTGCTGGTGTACAAGCAGGGGGAATGAAGCAAAAAAACAAAACTAAGCTAACAAAAAAAAATCTATTTTAATGTTGGCACACATGTTGTGGACAAAACTCAGGAGCCTGACCTCCTGTAGCCCAACATTCGGTATTTTATTTCTGCTTGGAAGTGCTTCCGGACAGAGAGCCTGCACGGCACCGCTGTTGTTTCTTGAATCTGTGTGCAGGCACTTGGCTGAGAGATCCAAAACTCACATGACCGAAATGCGGGGGGGGGGGGGGAGGGAAAGGAAAACAAGCCCAGCCTTCTCCGGGAGGGGCACAAAGCCAAATGACGGAGGTTACTTTTCCTTTACCCCCACCCTTTTGGCAAACAGCTGCCCTGCGTCACTGATGGATCAAAACCTGAGCCAGCCGGAGCAGCCTTTTGCTTGAAAAACCTTCCCACCAGAGAGGGCCAAGCCAACAAACGTTAGATGGGAAAATGCTATAAATAGATCAGCCGGCTATTTTCAGAGCAGCCGCTCTCCTGCTGGGTTAGGTGTACGTGTCTGTTTTTAAAAAACCATTAAACAACAGGAATCTGATTTACAGACTTGTTTGTGGTTTTGACATCACCACGTGCGTGATGCGTGGGCTGGCCTTTTGGTGCTACCTGGTTCCTAAGAAGTCCGGGATTATATAACAGATCACACTGTTTACCACACAACCCCTAAAACCGGAAATGCTTCGTCTATGGCTTTTCCCCAGGGGAAACAATCCAAACGCCGACAAGCTTAGCCAGGAGGGGGAAAAAAACCTGCCCACACAGCAGGACGGCCTTCCCACCTCCTCCCGTTCCTCATTAAGCCGCCGCATGCCAAAAGATGCAGAAACCAATGGCCATCAAGGAGTCGATCTAGATTTAATCACAGGTTTCCAGCATCGGATTGCAGACCTCAAAACATTCCTTCCGCCTGCTGGGGCGAACGGGCCATTCAAGACCCGAAAGCTGACCCTGGAAGCCACCCATCTGCACAGCTCAGCTTACTTCTCTGGACTAAAACACCCAGCAGCCCGACAGCTGGGGCCCTCTGGGCTTTGTAATCCCAAAACCCAGATTCCTGAAACTGGATTGTTGGGGAGCCTTGTAGCTTTTGCCTTTTCTTCCCTTGGGCAGGAAAACACAAGCAAGGATGGGGGCTGGTTCTGTGGCAGATCTGTCAAAAGCTGATCATCCTTAAGCCACAGGTTAGACTCAGGTTTGAGCGTGAGAGGGAGCTAGTTCTCCGTTCTGCTCTGAGATCCTTTGAATGGAGACTCCCCAAGGGCCTGATCCGGAGCCCCTCCAGGTACCTAACACCAAGGCCTCCAAGCAGAAGAAAGGTAGCATAATCTGTGAACCTTTGCCATCCCCCTTACTTCGCTGTGTCCCCTGGGGACACCCTGCCCAGGCCACATCAGCACCATCGATTTTATTTCTGTATTTCTTTGCTAACTTTTATGGGCTCAGGAGATCCAAGGCAGCTGCCCATATCTTGAGTCAAACCGAGGAACGGAAAGACCTAAATTTAATGAATAAATAAATCTTATGGATTCATGGCATACTAGTTTATCGACAACTGTTCGCTTTGAAGGCAAGGCAGAAACCTCATACACAAAAAGGCTGTAAAAGTCTCAACTGCCATGCGTTCGGAGGATGCAGCCAAGAGCCTCCACCTCCAAATCCCTGCTTCGGAGGGGCGAGATCCACTGGATCATCTGGGTGGTGGGCAAGGAAGACAGCGAGCCAAGAATGACACATGATTTGTATGATTCATCAAAGCAGCGCCCGTATTTTGCTACCTTTCCCTCCCTCCCTCTTTTTCCCCCTTCCTCGCTCTTCAGTTTTCTCAAACAATTTCTAAATGATAGAACAGGACTGCGGGGCCACAGGGAGAGGCCTGGCTTTGGGGCCCAAATCTCTTAGCTTTATAGAATTATCTCCTTTGTCGTACGACGGTGAGGAGTCAACCGCTTCTGAAAAGCAACGCCTGAAAAACAGTTCTGTGTGACTCAAAAGCCTGCGGCCTGACCCGTGCTGAAACCGATCGGGTAAACGGCGTTGCCTAACTCTCTCCCTGACATTCCAGGGTCTGCGATTCTAAGGCAGCCTTCCCTAACATGGTTCCCTCTCGATTTACTAGACTTCGGATCCCAAAGTATGTTTGCTGTGGGATCCTGGGAGCACATCAGGAGGGTGCCGTGTTGGGGGTAACTTCTGAAAAACCAAGGAGTCATCCGACCTTACACGTAAGCTGGTCCCCACAAAACGTGTGGGAAGAAATACCAAGGGAACATTCTCCCAGGCGGGAGAGAAAGTTTTAAACCTTTACTCACCAAAGTCCATTCTATCTTTCTGGTTTCGCTGGAGCAAACCCAACAGCAGGTCAGCCAAATAAGTGGACGTTTCCCTAGGGATGCTGAACACAAAAGGATTAAAATGAGAAGATTTAAAAAAGAAAAAAGTAAAAAAGAGGAGAGGAAAAAGAGAAATATCCTGAACCGACAAATGAAGAGGATCTGTTTCTCTTTAACAGACGCAGAGTTGTAACTCCTCCAGAGGCCACAGAAGGATACCTACCTGGGGATTAGGTTCCTATTCTTTTCATAGAACATCCTTAGATCTTGAGGACTGTTGGCCTGTAAAAGCGGAGACAATGTGAACTGTTAAAAGCGATACTTAGCCAAAATACAGATCTCGCCCTATTTTTACATGGGAAATCTAGGAAACTGGGTACAGAAGAAAGGCCAGTTAAGCCACAGCTTGCATGCTTGAAACCGAACTCATGCCAAACCCGCCCACCCCTGGCTACTGGAAGCAATATTCCCCCATCCAGTGTTAACTGTCTTATGCCCCACCATTAGGGCTGGCTTGGAAAGGTTTTGAGGGTAAAGTTTTGGTTCATGTATTCCCCCCCCACCTCCTCTCAACAGAAAAAGAGGCAACTTTGAAGGTCGTAGGATCCTAGCTCAATGTTCACCACGCTTCCTTTCAAAAAGCCTTAGAAACTGTGAAACCAAGCAGTGACAAAACTAGGGGGAAACGGGGGGAGGAAAGAGCAGTCTGGGTTAATCTGAAAGGCGTGCCATGAAATCAAAACTGGGGTAATTTGAAGGAAGAGACACCACCAGACATTGTAAAAAAAAGACCCCAGAAATCCCAAATCGGAAGTGGAAAAGCTCGGTACGGGTAAACCAGAAAAAAACTTATGTGAATATTGTAGCAGATTGACACAGAAAGGAGGGTTGTAATCCCTCAAACAATCCTGTTCTCTCCTCTCCTCTGTGGGTTTAGGGAAGGTGGTCAAAGGCGGGTCCCTTACCTGGAAGGGCGGCTTTCCCACCAGGCACTGATAGATCACCGTCCCGATGCTCCACAGGTCTGCTTTGGCATCGTAGTGCTGTGACATGATCACTTCGGGAGCCTGAAAAGGGCCCAAAAGTGAGCGGATGGAGCATTAAGGGGGGGGTGTCACCCAAAGCGCCGCCAGGCTGCTCACCAAAGAGCGGCCCTTTTGCCGACTTCCACTTTAATCCCCCCTCACTGGTTCTGCGACACATTTGGAACCCACTGCCTTTTAAACTTATGCAACTTTACGACAGGGCGTAAGCCCCAGGAACGAAAAGACTGCCCATTTTATACGCAAAGGGCGTCGATTCACTCAGTCCTGCCGTCTTCTGTACTCTGCTCACGGGAAGCCTCTTACATCGTACACGGTCCTTTGTCACTCAGACCCGCAAAACCCTGATCTGACAACTGAAAGACTGCCCATTTTATACGCAAAGGGCATCGAATCACTCAGTCCTGCCGTCTTCTGTACTGTGCTCACGGGAAGCCTCTTACACCGTACACGGCCCTTTGTCACTCAGACCCGCAAAGCCCTGATCTGACAACTGTCCATGAACCATGTGCTGGGCATCAAAACCGGGGGGGGGGGCCTTCAACCACCCGGGATGGCTCTTAAGAGAGGCGACCATCCTACACACTCTTTTTCTGAGATCGCCTGTCACTGAAAAATTGTCATCTGTGAACACGAGGGAAGGAACCACAACAGGCTTTTTGCAATACACTCACCTATCCTTCCTCTTAAAACAGCGGTTTCCCCAGGTATTCAATGACAACGCCCCCAGAGGTTCTACCCTGCCCGGTCCACTGTCAGGGCTTGTAGTCTGAGCACATCTTTGAGCATTTCAAGTGGCAAACAGGAGCAGTGAGCGTTCAGTGCTCCTAATCGAAACCCCGACCATGGCAGGACAAGCCTCGCCACCTCTCACTCACCATGTACATGGGGGAGCCGCAGAGGGTGGCGGCCATCATGTTGCTCTGAAGGTAACGGGCAAATCCAAAGTCAGCTGTTCAAAAGGGGGAAAAGAAAAAACCATAAATCACCAAACTTTTTGAAGGTTAAGAGGGAAACGAGGTGCAACTTTCACATAACACTCTGCGTGCCCATGTAGCATTAAGCAGGAACACCCAGAGACGGCAAGCGGTGGCCCGAGTCTGGTCTAGCGTTTGCAACTTTCAGCGTCACAACAAGCCACACGATATTCACAAGCCAGCTTTTGTAAAGCAACGAGAAACCATGGTTTCTAGTTGTGGTTGGTAGCAGGCTGACAAACCATGGTTTATTTGTAGGGATGGGGGGGGTTCGGACAAAGCAACAAGTCCCAATTCGACAGATAAGAACCCTGGTTTACCCCTCTGGGCGTGCCAGGGCAGAATCTGCCTTGTTCATGACCTCGCAAGGAAAGGAAATGCATTTAAGATAGATAGTGGAGGTGGGGGTATTCCACGGGCTGTAAAAAGATGAGCTAATAGAAAAGGCATGCAGCCAAGGGCTCTGGCCCCACAAGCCCCCCCCAATTAGTGCACAGGGTGCCGTGTGGGAAGCTTACATTAAGACTTCTCACGCTGGGCCCAGGCCCACTCAGAAAAATCTGGGAATATGCCTAAGAAAACCAAAACTTCTAAAACGGCACAAAGTACAGCCCTCGCGATGGTTACAGGAGGTAGGAAGGAAGCTACTCTGTCAATGTTCAGACCCTGGCTGGCCCCACTGAGCCCACTACTGCCAGCACTGACTGGGAGCAATGGTTCTCTCAGATTCCAGGTAGGTGTCTTCCCTTGTTTTACCTGGAGACCCGTTATTCCCAGACGGTCTCCCACCCTAAGTACCAGCCCAGCCCGACCCTGCTTAGCTTCCAAAATCAAAGGCGCTCGGTTGTGTTCAGGGTGGGAGGGTAATTCTGCCCGCAACCTTAGAGACTTATGGCTTCCGGACACACCCAACTCATGGAGAACGACACAGTGGAAACAAGGCCGACGGATCGGTGGGAGGATTTTGGCTGGCGACGGCTTTCCCGCAGAGGTCCGGGTGGCCAAACCGGCCATGCTGCCCCCCGCAACACAAAGGGCAGGCACCCACCTATCTTGACGCGTATGCCGCTGATGCTCGACTTCCTGCGATTCGCGTACGACAGCAGGATGTTCTGGGGCTTGAGGTCCCGGTGGATGATCCCTTTGCTGTGAAGGATCCGCATGGCGGCCGCAATCTGCTGCAGGAACACACGGATCGTGTCTTCGCTCAGAGTCCCTTTGGCTGAGAAAAGGGAGGAAGGCAGAATTCCAATCCGCTTAACGTCACGGCGGCTTTTCATGGGCTGAATGAACCCTAAAGAAACCATTTTAAGTCCCTGCGGAAATTTCTCCTCCTGAATCCCAATGAAGCTTACAGCTGCTTTCATTAACCTGGGTTATAACGACGTGTCCATTTGCTATGTCTTTTTCTTCAGCCTCAAAGGTACAGATGTACAAGTTTAAATCCAACTTCTCAAGCAGAGATGGCGGACCGAATCAGCTACCAAATGGTAAAGATCAGCCCTTCTGCGAATCCTATCTGATTTGGTATTTGTGACTATATGTAGTAAATTTGGTGTTTGATTTTTGAATAACCATTATGTTCTATTATTTTTTAAAATGTTATTGTTTCACTGTGTTGTAGACCGCCCAGAGTGGCCTTGTGGCCAGATGGGCGGTTATAGAAGTCAAGTCAATAAGTAACTAACTAAATAAATAAGTAAGATTCAACAGATCTGCAGGAGCTGGGACTAACAACATAATTTATACCATAAATAACCTGACATGTTTAAGAGCTTTGAAAAGTCAGAGGTGCTGGTAAGGAAAGCAGGTTTGTGACAGGATCACTGTTTAGGAAAAGGGTAACCAACAGAAAGAGAAAGCAAAGGAAGGATCTCCAAGATGGATCATTCGGACAAAGGAAATATGGAGAACACAGGGCGCAAAACCCCCATCGTCCCAATTCTCTTGTGAAAGCTGAGAACATTCCAAGCTCTCCGATTAGCCTTTTTAAATTGCAATTTGTCATCTTGCTTGTTATGTTGGTCACCCATCCTGGGCAGTTCCTTCTCAGCCGAACAATCCCCAGAAGACCAATCTCTCCCTCTGGGCCCAGCCACCTCCGCTCAAAAGCTCCTCCAAGATAGTTAAAAGGAACCGGAGCTTAGAAAATGAAAACAACGTCAGCTCTCTTAAAGGACCCAGTTCTACACTCTTTTCCCTTCTTTTAAAAATCCGTTCACAAAAAAAAGATGACGACGGCAGAGAGCGAGTGGACTTTGGTGTTTTTTTTTCCTGCATGTTTGGCTGCCGGCAGCCTTGAAAATAGGATTATTAAATACACAAATAGAAGTACACTCCTCACCTCAATCACTAGAAAGCTGTGGTCCTCTGGACTTCAATCCCCCCCCCCATTTCTCAGGCCTGGAGAATCCTGGGAGCTGTGCTCCCGAGAATACCCCTCGGCACACCTCTGAATGTACACTATGTAGGAAACAAATGCTACACCCGCCAACTTTTGAGCTCCCCGTCAAGAGTTATAAGCAGTCCCTTACCTTGTAAATAATCCGCCAGGTCTCCCCCATTGCAGTACTGTCCGGGAGATAAGAAAGAAAAGTCGGATTAGATTTGCAGGGGCTCCACGCTCCCCCCCTTGCTTGTCCCAAAGAGAAGGGACACAAGCCAATCCATCAACCAAGGGTGAAAGACAACTGGTGGATCTCTTGCCCCACGGCCTCCTTTCCCCTCTCCTCCTGCTGTATGCATGGGGCTGATGTGCTCTGTCACACGTGTGCCCCCCCCGGGCAAGCTGCAAGGTGGGTGCCACCAGGAAAGAAAAAAGTGGGAAATCCCTTCTGATTGCTTCGGGCCAAGGGCAGGCCAGCCGTACATTAGGATCGACTCGACAGGACGTCATGAAATACCTTCCTTACCTCCATTACCAGAAAGACAGAGTTGGGCAGCTCCTGAAAGAGAAGAGGAGAAACCTCTCAAGACGTTGCCAAGTAACAACCTCCTGAGGGTCCAGACGAGGAGGGCTCATCCGGAGAGGTCAGGAGACCGAACCGGAGAGGTTCTGCATTAACAGCCAACACCCAGCCGGGGATTTACGCCTCATCCTCAACCAGAGGGTATCTTCCCCCAACTCAGAGACAAGGGTCTTCCCCCTCTTTCCCACCACCTTATTGGTCCCTTAAGCTCAAATTAAAGCAGCGTTTGATGAGGAAGGGAGCCGGAATCAGACTTCTTAGAAATCCCTTGGGCAGTGAAAGAGTTCTGGGGAACATGACTGTGACGAACAAAGCCAAGTCAACGGAATGGATCAAGCGACGGCAACCCAGCGGTAGGTTTATACAAATGCTAGGTTTTGGAAACCTGCTTGGTTTCCTCGGCAAAGCAGGGCCAGGCCCTCCTCTGTTCCTCTGGAAGCTGAAGGTCAAGACAGGTACCATCTGTCAAGGCCGCCCAGAACCCAGAATAAATCCGGGAGTGTGGAATGGGCATTCCGGAGAGGCGGACCATGGAAACCCAGCGCTGGGGCTGTGCAGGGGGGGGGGAACCAGCTGGCCAGTGAGCCGGACCATGGAAACCCAGCGCTGGGGCTGTGCAAGGGGGGGGGGACCCAGCTGGCCAGTGAGCCGGCCGGGCAGAAACCCAAGACGGGCGCCGCTGAGAGCCTCCCAAAAGGGGCTGGCTGACCTCTCATGACTTCACTCTCCAGGAGACCAGGCTGGCAGGCAGGAGAGCGCAAATCACTCGAAGCCTCTTAACTAAAAACCAGTTCCCAGGCTCTTAGGAGTAAACCCCAAGGAGCCCAAAGGCAGAGAAGCAAAAAACCCCACACTTAAGCACCACCCTGAGTGCCGTTTTGCAAACAGGTTCCAAAGCCCCGTCTTAGCCCTAAACACAGGGCTTTGTTGTCTCTATGCCTTACTCAAAACACAGTTTTGCCAACCACCCACCCGAAGTAGCAGCTACAACCTCGAAAAACGCCAGACCGCTCTGGTCTCAAGCCTCATTTGAAATCCAGCAGTGAGATCCTCAAATGGGTATATTCTATTACTATGGTTCATTTGCAGGGAGCAGGAGAGAATGGATGGGTCTGAATGTTGCATTATATAAAAGGATAAGCCAACTTTGCGTCCTTCAATATTTTAGACTACAATTCCCATCATGACCAACCACATGGGTGGCCCTATCATCCCTGTGACTGGGGATGATAGGACCTATAGTTCAGTCTGGGGGGTATAGGGAGGCCTGGACCAATGCTGAGCAAACACTGTCCCATTATCAGATGCGGGAAAAATCAGCATTTTAAAATATTTGTGCTTTTAAGCCTCTGTTTTTATGAAGGCTGCAAACAGGTAAAACGGGAGAGGATTCGCTGGGTTTGGAGTCCTTTGGTTTAAAAAAAAAGGGAGAATATCAGAAATTAACAATAATAAGGTAGTCAGAATAACAGATGAAGCAATCATGTGCTTAAAGGTACAAACATACATTTGTTCTGAACACACACTGTGCTTCTGAAAGGGGAATAAAAATACAAAAGCCTTCATAAATGGTGGACCGTCTAAAACTGCAAGGCTTGAAAAGAAGGGACAAGGGCTTATGTAACTGCTCTGGATAATTCTAGTTACTGCTGCCGAGGCCTGTAAAGGAATACAAAACTCTGGAGTCTACTTCTAACAAGGTCTTGGGCTGGGCATTCCTTTATTAAACACAATCGGCATTTCCTCAGAGCGAGAAAGACAGCAGAAGAACCTCGCAGCACGGCTACCTGGGGCTCCATCGTCCCCCATCAGCGGACGGGAACTTGCTCAGTGGACCAGTGAGGGGTTCGAGGAACTTGTTCAACACAGTGCTGCAAAAATATCCTGCCCGTCCTGCTCCACACAGGCTGTCTGCAGGAGACCTCTAGACGGATGGCTCCTGTTAACAAGGACAGTGTGTGTGTGGGGGGGAACTACAAGATCCTGAAATGACAACACCCCCCCAACACCCATGTGGCTTCGCTTGCCTGGGGCAGATGTTTCCTGCTCGAAACGGCTGTCGGTCGGGGGCCATCCTGGCAGACGACGAGGTTTTCACGGAGAAGGCCATTTGTCAAATCACACAGAGCAAGAGAGAGACCCGTTCAGTCACTGTCTCCTTGTTTACACAGAGGATTAATATTTATGATGATGGAAGAGTTCGCTTTCCTCCCCTTTGGGCAGCACAACGCTCTCTGCTTCTCTTTGGCCTCCATGAAGACACCCTCCCTTGGTCAGCTCAACGGATTACTGATACTGAAAATCCGCTTCGGCTAATACTTCCTACTGGATCATTAGAAACTTCAAACATAAGGACGTGCCTACGAGTTTTCAGAACCCTCCATCAAGCGAAACGGATGTAAAACGTGGGGTCCACGAAGACTGTCCCAAAAAGAAGCCAATGAACAAAGCAGTTTTATCCTGTTCCTCAGCCACAAATGCTTCTGGACCAACCGACATACAATCAAGACCAAGGCAGCCCCTGACCTCAGATTCGAAAGGAAGCACAAAAAGGATGATGGAGGGAAGCAAACAGCCATTCAGAAGGATGGAAACAACGGGCCAGCTTTCCGTCTCATATTTCTCTGCTAGAGCACAGCAGTATTACAGCACGCGGTTATTTGAAGGAATGGCATTTATACAGTGCCGTTTATTAAATCTCATCCCGTCATCAGGGACTCCAGCCTCAATAAATAACATATGATCTGAGCTGTTCTCAGAAGCATCCTCGGCACTTCGAGGTCGATTGGCTGGCAAGAAAGCAGGACCCATGACGTGGCTGCTTCTGCCCAGGTCGGCCCCTGGCACAAGACGGTTTCCAGACCTTTAAGCGCTATCGCTGGCAGTCGTTCCAGCCAAGATGAAGAAGAAAACAGAACCGACTTTAATGCCCATGGTCATGGGAATCGTTGCTCTATCCAGGTTTCCACAAGAAGATCCCGAGTCCGTGACGCTTCCCCTGTTGGGATGGAAAAGCTGGGGCCGCCTCAGCAGCTCAAAAGACACAACGTGGATTTTGCAAACAGGCGGGACAGTTTCCAAACCGTCTGCTGTGATGCTCTGATTTATTCTACTCTGCCTTTCCTTTGGTTCTGCAACTCTGGGCCTACACGAAACCAAGGAAAAGACACAGGTGTGGATTTCTTAGTCTAAGGAAGGATGTCCTGCAATTAAAGCATCTGGAAATCTGCAAAGCAGCCAATGAATCCACTGGCTGCACCAGAACCGACTTTAATGCCCATGGTCATGGGGATCGTTGCTCTATCCAGGTTTCCCACAAGAAGCTCCCGAGGCCGTGACGCTTCCCCTGTTGGGATGGAAAAGCTGGGGCCGCCTCAGCAGCTCAAAAGACACAACGTGGATTTTGCAAACAGGCGGGACAGTTTCCAAACCGTCTGCTGTGATGCTCCGATTTATTCTATTCTCCCTTTCCTTTGGTTCCGTAACTCTGGGCCTACACGAAACCAAGGAAAAGACACTCTAGATGGGCCAGGGTTTTTTCCCCTTAACACATACAGGTGTGGATTTCTTAGCCTAAGGAAGGATGTCCTGCAATTAAAGCATCTGGAAATCTGCAAAGCAGCCAATGAATCCACTGGCTGCACCTCATCTACGTTCTCCAGCGCCCTCTTCCAGCGATGTCTTCAGCGAGCAACGTCTGTCACCTGCAGAAGGCCCCAGCGTCTCCTCTGAGAAACTGCATCTTGGGCTTGAGTCAGAAGAGAGACAGACAGGGTCAGGGGGCCAAGAAAGGCAGGTCTACCTTCTGACCTTGCTTGGGGCTTCAGTTGTGACCTTGTTTCCCTGAGACTGGAGGAGAAAACGGATGAGAAACCTCTGACTTTCTCCAACTGGGTGCTCTGATGGGGGTTGTAGTCCCAGCTCCTCTGGGGAGCGGCTAGTTGTGGGTACATGCTCCCCTCGCAATGTTACACAGACAGTTCTTCCCCGCATCCGAGGAATTTTTTTTCCTGCATCCTCCAGGGAAAGGGGTATCACATGACGAACTGCAGCCCCCTTCGCTGCTTACAGATGCACCGAGCAGCCTCACAGAAACCGACAGCAATTATCTGGCTGCGCTCGGATAGGATGCTCTCCGACTGCCAAGCCAGGCGTGCACATTAATGGCCCATTGATCGAGTGGCAAGGGAAGGCTTCCAGATGAATGAGCCTCTCCCTGCCTTGCTGCTACGCGCACAGGCGGGCTTGATCAGTGCCCAGGCAACGCCCCAAACCCTCTGCAGGTGGAGGATGAAACCCAAGCAATCGCAGGATGCCCTCCTGATCCAGAACCAGGTGGGGGGGGTGATGATGGGCACCGTCATGCAACATCTCCGGAGTGTGCCTGCTTAGGAGGACTTGTGAATCGTGGCAACGGGCCAGTTTTTGCCCACAGGCTGCCAGCTGCCTGACACTGGGGTACGGCACACTCTCGCTTGCGTCCACAGAAGCAGGATGGCAGAGGTTAGGGGTGCCAAGAACATCTATGCCGGAAAGAACTCATTCCGACTCTCTGGGGGTGGGGGGAAGACAGGAGGTGGTGCAGACAATATACCTCTGGGGACTGAGCATGGGAAATATACAGACGTGGCAACTGTGTATGACTGTGGGTGTGACAATGAACCATAGTTTTTAGAGCAAATGGTGGATCTCAACCTACTGATGTACATCAGGATGACTGGCAGATAAGCCACCACAGATTCCTGACCTCTCCCCTATGCCTGAATCATAGCAACAGCGAAAGGATTCCTGTCAACAGCACCAGGGCCACCAGATCCTAAAGAGGAGACGAAGATCACCAGAAGTGGAACCGTGTAGGAGGTGGAGAACGGCAGAAACTCCTGCCAGTTGTCAAGGACACAGCCTCCTCCTGCCGAAAGCAAAATGAAAAAGAAGTGTCTTCCTACATTAGGAAGACAGACCGGCTTATTTTAGCACCAAACTGTGTTCATTACAACCCACTTCGTCAGTTGCACGGCTGAACAGGTGTACCGCAGTGCTTTGACGCTGTATTCTCAGGAGCTGAAAAAAGAGACTGTAATCAAGATTGCTTTATAAGTGGCTCAAGACTCTTCTTTTGCTTTTCAGTTATGGCTCTGATTTGGGCTCTCTCTCCTCTTCAAAACACAGATCAGAGCTCTTTTAATTCGATCCATGTCCGTCTTCTGCACCAGGCGGCGATTGTTGGCTCTTGTGATTGCAAAAGAACTGACTCTGAACTCTAGAGGTTCTGTTGACCACGGTTTCGGAGGCAAACTGCCTGAGGTATAATCACATGTAAGAGCCAAGGCTGGACATCCAATGGCACACCCAGAGCTACACAAAAGAGAGAGGGAAGGCGAGGGTGGGCCGAAGTCCTGCTAAAGATCCTGTCGATCCACTCACCCTGTTTTCCCTGGGAAAATTCAGCACGGCACCGTAGGGCGGACAAAAAAGAAATGGAACACCCAAGAAAAAAAACTGGGATGTGTCCAGCTACAGAAACACACCTCCTTCTCGGCATCCTCGTATTTAATGCCCTGTCTTTAAATGTCGTGACGTGAAGCGTTTTTAAAAGCTGGAATGCTAAGCCACCCTCCTGGCTTAATCCTGCCTTGGAGGACTGGCCGCTCAGCCGAAAGGCCTTTAAGACTAACCTTTGCTAAGCTGGCCCCTTTCCAATCTGACCCAGCGAAAAGACAAGGAGAGGTGGAGAGAAACAGTCATGTCGCTAAAACACTTTTACGCAAGGGGAAAAAAAAGAGCATGGAGGGAAGCTGATGTGTGGTCGTCTTTCCTAAAAGCATTTAAGGAGTCACTCAAGGAAACCCCTAAACAAAGACCTGCTCGGTCCTGACTTGTGAGAACTCAGAATTGGGGGTGGGGAAGTGCCTCCTGGCGGCAGAACCCTCTTCTGTTGGCAGATCTTCCAGAAGAAGAGCAAAACAGGGCTGGAAAGAAGGTGGAGCCAGGAAGGAGCTCTTCCAATCCAGATGGAATCCTCTTTCGGCACATAGGACACAGGCTGGCCTAAATATTTTTCCAATATGAGCCTGAGAGGGGTTTGGGATGGGAGCATCCGGTTATCTACGGCATGCGTCTCCTCTGAAAGAAAATTTGGATAGACACACGTTGCCCAAAGGGCTCTCGGCTAATAAACCCTATCAAAATCTTGAAAAACAGCAGAAGTTCTATCAGACAAAGGGAGAGGGTAGGCATAAACCTAAATACCATTTTGATCTATGTCTGGCTTTACTTTAAGAACTCTTCGGAAAAACGCCCCACCCGCTAGGGCCTGGAGTAGGCTTAAAACCTCCATCTTTCCCGAGAACACAAGGAAAGGGCACGTTGTAATCAACCGGCCAAAAATAAACCTTCCATCCCAACCATGCCTGTTAATCATGGAGAGTCATCGCACAGTGAGAATCTGTCTGGATAAGACTTGACTTGTAAGTTTAAGGCCAAAGGGGGGTGGGGAGAGAAGGCTTCCTTACATAACTCTGCATCTAGGAAGCTGGAGTGTGGAACCTTTTAAGTTTTCTGGACTACAAAGCCCAGTATCCCCCCCACCAGCACATTAGATTTCTAATTTTTGCTTCGGGGATCTATAAAGTTGAGCTGATGCTCCTCAGCTTCCTCCATACTGCCATTATCCCTTCTAAAACAGCCTGCTTTGTACCCTGAAACACCGCTGCCTGTCAGAAAAAAATGCCAATTTAGTAGCTTTCAGGAATTGCCAAACCCGAGGATTCTCAACTGCAGATACCTATCACTTAAACCCTCAATCTGGCTCCCCTCTCAACCCCCTGGAAGACATGGACGCATCTACAGGCACTGTACTCATCGATGAGGGAGGGTGGGATGAGGAAAAGGGGATGGGAAGGAAGATGGAGGGGCTGAAGTTATGGCTAGCGTGCTGATCAGTGGCAGGTAAAGGCAGGAGGGGAGACCAGGCCAGACGTCCAGGAAAACACGGCCATGGAGGGAATTCTGAGCAACCATAACGAAAATCTTGCCTCTCAACTGAACTATTTCTACGGCCCACCAGTGGTTCAAAATGCCCAGAAGGCCGAACATAACTCCACCTGTGCTCTTTCAAGGTGCCCATCTCCAGACCAATTATTCCTAGAACAAACACCCTTACCGTTTTGAGTGGTTGAATATTATCTTCCCCATTGTTCACACGTGTCTTATACTTTCACTGAATGCACACATTGAACATACTCAATTAATGCCCTTGTAAATCTGGGGTTCAGAGGGGTTGAGCATTATCTTTAACCGAATCAACCTTAAGTTCAGAAAAAGCGCAAACTTTTGCCTTCTGGAGAACTCTTCACGACAGGACGGCAAAACTGGGAGCCGCAGGGGATAGAAGCCCTGAAATGCAGGTAAGGTACTTTACAGTCTATTTCAGGATGGCCAAGAGGGGCCTGATGAGCTCAAGGGTTGAGAAACAGTGCAGAAATGTCCCTTCTCTGAAAAAACAAAGACATCAGTAAATCAGAGATCCTGCATCTAGCCTTAGACAGAGGAGTTTTCCGTGTCAGCAGGAGCAGAATAAATCTGTTACGCTTTTAAAAAGCCCCAGGACTATTGGGTTTGCAGCAATGTGGCAAGACGCTATACGGTTCCATCAAGGGAGCAAAGCACACAGAGATGGCAAAACAAACTCACCTGCACATCATACAGAGCGACAATGTTTTCATGCTGAAGCTCCTGGAAAACAGAAAGAGATGCAGTTCAGAGAAATACAGGAAAGGGGTTCCCAAGAGAGGCCTCGCTGTTCTGAAGAAGCCGCCTTTCCAGGCAAGGCTAAACCTCTTTCTTCCTCCATTAATGTCAGTTGTGTTTAATGTGTGGAAGGAAGGCATGAGTGGCTCTGGAAAGCAACGTCCTTGCCTCAAATGAACCTCTTTCTCGCTTGCATAAACCCTCCCCATCTGGCAGCCCCATCTTCCTACAAAGGTTGAAACGACATCTGGAAGGAACCAGGTCTTCCCCCCCCCAAGAGCCTCGAAGCTTCAGAATGACCTTTAAATCTCTACCTTTTCTTCTGGGAGTGGGGTAGGGAGAACATGACCCGCTGTTTTGACCTGGCGTTTCTCCCACTCTTATTTCTGGATCTCAATGGTTTTGTTCTTTCCTTAAGGTGCTTTGAAAAGAAAAATGACGTAGCTATTTATGACCAGACCTTCCATGTATATAGAAAGGGGGGGGGGAAGAAAAATCTTTTTATTTCAGGAAGGACCTGGAGGGGAATGAATGAATATGGGCATGTTTTAAAATTGGTGCTGAGTGTTTATTTTTTTGGAAAGAAAAAACAGCAACTATGCATTAAGACAATAACTGTGACATGGATTTTTCTTGTCCAGGGTTTTAAGTGCTTCCAATTTACCCTCTGGCTTCTTGGAAAGCATATGACAGGGTACATTTCTCAAAATAAAGAGGAGGAAACAGGAAGGAACTGCTTAAGACGTCCCCCTGAAGCTCCCTATTAACATTCTCTACTTCTTCTGCCTTGCCTTGCTCTGTTTTGACATTTCTGTCCCTTTTTGTCTCTTCTGCATTCACACACCCGGTCAATTCCTTCCTCCTGAGCAGCCAGTCATCCCATTCTAAAGGATACATGCCACCAATCTGTGGAACCCATCCACCCCAAGGAACTGGGGCCACAAAAGTGCCTTAAAAACGAAAAGACAACTTCCCAAATCCTTTAGCCAACACCATAGAGATGCCACCCACATTTTTAAGAAAGGGAGATTTGACAAGCCCCGAGTGATCCCAGCATGAAAGGAAGGGCACCTTCTCTCTTGCCTCCCCTTGCCAGGGAAAGGAAAGTAGGGCGGGGGCTTCCTAGAGGGGGCAAATGGGAGTGAATTGGGGAAAGTTCCAGGGAGCCTGAACTAAAGGGTCCAAGAAGGAAGAAATGTTTAGCAGAGAAGGCTCTTCCTTTGGGTTACTGTCATTTGAGACAAATGTTTGTTATTTCAGGAATTTCCCAAGGATGGCCTCCTGCCACCGTTCAGGTAGGGAGGAATCAGTGCCAGGAGGGGGTGCTTCCAACCCCAGGGAGTAGCTGGAATGTTTAGATTTTTAGGAAGCCTTCAAGTGGTCATCAAGAGAGCCTGAGAGTCCCCGAATGAGCTTGTGACTGATACTGTTTCAGGGAAGTGCCAGCCCTGCTGATTACCAATATTAAAAGTCCAAAACAACACGCACGAACACCCCACAAAAAGCAAAACCCAACAGCCTCCCCTCTGTGCAGAGGCACACGCACGCACCCACGCAACGCAGGCTCTATGCCACAAGCAAATTTACAACCCCCTCTGCACAGATCTCACATTGTTCCTCCAGAGCCACTGAGCGCTTTGCTCAAAAGAAAAGGGGAAAGCAGGCCAGGTCAACTGAGGGCGGCAGAAGCTGGGAGTGTGAAAACACCACAGCTCTCCAGAAGCTGCTGCTCTCCAGAACCTTTCCAGAGCCTCGAGCCAAAGGGGGTTTGAGGAGAAAAACACAGCATGACTGAGATGCAAAACGGAGAAGGCAAACCTTCAACCCTTGCTCTGCTTGGACTTTTCTGTGTCGCTGTGTGTCTTCAATGTTCACATACCTGGACTGGAGAAGGCAAACCTTCAACCCTTGCTCTGTTTGGACCTTTCTGTGTCGTTGTGTGTCTTCAATGCTCCATTTTCAACCCTGAGGGTTGCTAGCCCCCCAATAACACACATGACGAAACATCTGTCTGCATCAGGAAAACCTGACTTCTCAAACCACCTGTAAACAGCACAAATTGAGCCAATGGTCGCTGCTATTTGCTCCTTTTGCATTCCTCATTTTGCGTCTCATCTCCAGAGGCAACCAAACATCATGTGTTCAAGCAGGATTGGCCAATTTGGACCACATTTCCCATCATTCCTCTTCTGGTCAGGGTAGACGGGAGCTTTTCCTCAGTGACACTCAGAGGGCTTTATGGTCTCCACCTGCCACTCTTTAAAGCACGAACCCCTCAACCCCTGCCACCAGGATCTTGTTCAGACACCACTTTGGCTTCTGAGATTTCACAAACAATCCCTGTTCGTGCCCACTCAAAAGTGTGCTCCACTGAGGACTAGAAGCATGCTAGTATTTGGGGAGGGGGGAAATAATCTGAGATTCTACAGAAACCAATTCTGCTGCGAACTGTCAACTCTTTAAAGCACGAACCCCTCAACCCCTGCCACCAGGATCTTGTTCAGACACCACTTTGGCTTCTGAGATTTCACAAACAATCCCTGTTCGTGCCCACTCAAAAGTGTGCTCCACTGAGGACTAGAAGCATGCTAGTATTTGGGGAGGGGGGAAATAATCTGAGATTCTACAGAAACCAATTCTGCTGCGAACTGCCAACACTGAAAATATGGACACTTAGAGCTATAAAGGGTATTGGCGGAAGCACCAGTGAGGAAGCGTAAAGGCAAGAAAGATTCCCTTAAAAAAGGGGAATGATAGTGAATTCCATGCTTCTGTGGCATTTACAGAAGAAAAACGAGCAAGTGAAAACAGAAGGCTGGCAAAACTCAAAATCCATGATGTTGGACACGGCTAAAAACATGTCAACTTAAGAGGTCCAGAAAACGACGCTGGAACAACTTGCCTTTAAAATTTTTATCTCCTTCCCAAGCAGGAGCTGCGACTTAGACAAGTTCTTCTTGTTGATGCTTTTAATAGCCACTTCCCAGTCAGTTTTCTAAAAAAAAAGGAGGAAAAAAACAAAGCTTTAAATGCAAACAGCTCATTTTAATTTTTCTGAGAAAGCAATTAATTAACTGCCCAGATGGGGTCAGTCAAAATATCCAGATCAGAGGTAGATAGAGCGCACTCAGCCCACTGCATCCCCCCAAGATCATTTTGGAGGGAAAACATCTTTTTCCCCCCTCAAACACCTCAAAATCATCAATCACACTCCAGGTGTCTGGTTTTCCTTCTTTTTTAAAATCACTTTTACAAAGGGCATGGGGCCTTTAGTTTTCTAGATGGTTTGAACTCCAGTTTCCGGAAGCCTCAAAGACATGGCCAATGGTCAGGGGCGATGGGAGTCGGAATTCAAAACATTTGGGGCAGCAAAGGGTCCCCCCTCCCAGCTCAGACTTTCCAGCAAGGGGCATCCATGGGAGAGGGGGACGCTCCCCTCAAAATGTTAATATACACAGATATGGTAAGACATTTGCCCTCCAGGCCACAAAAATCCCAGCCTTGCAGCTGTCAAGGGTGACCTGTGGCGAACAATGGTATCAAAACATGATCACTCCAGCAATCCCTGGCATCGACGCAGCCGCCTGGTCACGAGAGACGCCAGGGCTTAATCCGACCCACTTTAGAACAACTACCAGCTGAAATGCCACTCTGCAATACCTTCCAGGGTTTGGGGCCATGTTACTGGTGAAATCCCAGCCTTGCAGCTGTCAAGGGTGACCTGTGGCGAACAATGGTATCAAAACATGATCACTCCAGCAATCCCTGGCATCGACGCAGCCGCCTGGTCACGAGAGACGCCAGGGCTTAATCCGACCCACTTTAGAACAACTACCAGCTGAAATGCCACTCTGCAATACCTTCCAGGGTTTGGGGCCATGTTACTGGTGGGAGCGTCTCAGGGCTTAATCCGACCCACTTTAGAACAAATATCAGCTGAAATGCCACTCTGCAGTACCTTCCACGGTTTGGGGCCATGTTACTGGTGGAAGCATCTTTCCTTAACGTCATCTGCCCAACCCCCAAGATCATCCCCACTGAGGCTCCTCCCGGGGACCACCTTGAGGGAGGCCCATAAATTCTCTACACAAGAGGCAGGGCCTTCTCCGCGGTGGGTCCAACTTTACGGAACCAGCTTCTGGAGGAGCTCCGTCCAGCCCTCTCCCTGTTGACGTTTAGGAAGCAATTAAAGACGTTGCTTTCCACACTGATCCTAGCTGACCACCTTCCCCCGTCTGACCTGGGTTTATACGATTAGTCTGTCCCATCTGTTTTTAGGGTTATTGCTGTTGCTTTTAACATTATTATCTTCATTTTTGTTCTCTATTATACGTGCTGTAACCACCTGGAGTAGTGTCTCAGCACTAATAGGAACAGGATACAGATTGAAAGGATGAATGAACGAATGAATGAATAAAGAGCCCTGAAGTTGTCTATTTTTATTTTTATTTTTTTGCATGACGATGAATGAATGAATGAATGAATGATTAAACAAAGAGTCCTAAAAATTTTTTTTGCATGAAGTTTCATGGACTACAGGCCACATTTTTAAGAACATGGGAGTGTTACCCAAAACTCCAGGCACATCTCTGCAATACTACAATGAGATGAGATTAAAACATTAAAGACTGGGAGATCAGGGTAAATTTAAACCTAAAAAATATTGCAGAAGACCTTATAATTCCTGGTAGCCACTCCCAAAAGCAGGGTAACACAAACAACAGATAAAAAAAAACAGTTAGCACCTACAGCAGAATAAGTATAAGAATCTGAGGCAGACTGAGCCCAGTCCACTATCTTTTATCATCTGCTCCCTTGGCATTCAGAAACAGGTTATATTTTAGTCCGGCCGGCACTAACTGAAACTCAGCTTCGAATCCGGGTCCAGACCATCATGGTGCCAAAACAGTCCAGCCAAGATCCCTGTTCGATTTTAGCCATCTTCCCCCCCCCCTCAAGTAGGGGTGGAGAGAATGGCTGGCCCTTGAGACTTCAACTGCCCTACAGCTCCCACCAGCTAAAGCTGGCAGAGCGCAGGATGAGAAATGGTGAAAGCTAGACCAAAAAAAAATCTGGAAGGCAACAGCTGCCCATCTTGGCTCTCTAGGGCTTTATTTCAAAACGTGCCAGCCTGCCTTTCTGCACCATTTAGCCAGGATTTATTTCAGAGAGCTATGGAGGTCTAAATGTAGGCTGAAGGGTCAGCTTAACTCTGCATACATTATCGCCTGAGGGTGGGGGACCATTTAGCTTGCATTAAAACTTCTTTTTCTTTTTCTTTTAAAGCTTATTTTACTTCTTCACCATCAATTTCAGCCTTGGCCCCCTCAGCCAATTTGCATTTCACTGGTTCCCAGGCTGGCACGGTGAGCAGTAGCATTTTGGTTACACAAGGGATGGTGGTGGTTCTGTGGTGTCTCACTCAGTCGGTGCTGTCATGTTTGAGTCACAAACGCTTCTGAGAAAAGGGAGAGGGGGGGGAAATAAAACAACAAGATATTCAGAAAGGGGGGCAAAATCAGAGGTTTGAGGGCCCAGGGGAAAAAAGGGCCTTACTCTTAACTCTTCAGTTGCTCCAAAGCTCTAAAAAAAGTGGATCTGAAGTTGGACCGTAACCCACAAAAAGCTCAGATGAACAAACCTGTGAGCAGTGTAACTGCTCTGTTTTTAAATGCTGTCATGCTTCGCCAATCTGGGTGGATTGACGGTAAGCCAAGCTGTTGCTGTTTTTTTATTTACGTGGTGGATAAATTTACATCCTTACACCACTTTACAAAAACAAAAGTGTGGGGGTGGGGAGGAAGCCTCTGCCCCAAACCTTCTACAATCTGATTTTCAACATGATTATAAGAGGATAAAGACAAACAAGGGCTTCTTCTCCTTTACAAGCCTCCTGACAGAATTCTTGCCTTAACTGAGGGGACACTGAGGCAGAGACCGATCTGCCGGCTGCAACCCGGTAGCAGAGTTTAATCTTCCAAAATGCAAATGAAATATTAAATCAGGAGGCCGACACAGAACAGATCCTGGGGGTGAGCGGAAGGACAGGCCACTGCTAAGTCCGACAGAAGATGGCAGAAGTCTCTCCGAGCAGAGGTTTTAAACCTTGCCAGGAGAAAAAGGAAAACATAAAATAACCCCCATGTCAAAAGGGCAGCCCAGGTCAGAAGCAGCAGTGGCCCAACCAATCTGAAGAGAACTAGCTTTCTATCAGATCTGTACTTTTTGGGAGGGGGAGAGAGCTGACCAAACTCTTGTCTGGAGGCTGAAATAAGGCTCTTTATTCACAGTAGCTGAAGAGAAAATGAGAAACTAACCCAGCATCTGCATTCAGAGATCTGCAACGAAGCCAAAAGAAAAGGGCAGAAGAGGAAAAAAGCCAGCTCTCTTTCGAACCTACCAGGTCTTTATTCCGCCCGCCCAAAGAAACAGGGGCTTTATCCAAACCCTTTAGACTGCCATGGAATAGAAGAGAACATGAACTGACATAATGAAGGGATCCGGAGTGGATGGATAAGCTGGCAAGGAGGGCAGGAAGAATCCACAACAACACAGTGACATCATCACCATCTCCACGGCTCCGTTACGAAACAGAAAAATAAACAGGAGCAAAACTTTCTGAATCAAACAACACAGCCACGGTTTGACACTTTCCTTCCCCCCCAAAAAAACAGAGGGGAAGCAGCAGGGAAAAGAAAGGAGCGAGAAGCAAAAAGCAGGCAGGGGCTTTTTGCTAGAAATGCACATTGCTTTCAAAACAAGGATGACTGAACAGGCAACAAGGCGTAAAAAACCAAGAAGGAAGAAGAGGGGGCAATTAAGGAAGGAGAACAAGAGAACCACTTCTCTGGCGGAATAATGTGGATGTTTGTGAAACAGCCATCCACGTAACCACGGCGATTCGCAGAGATACAGGTACAGACACCAAAAGGTAGAATCTGTTGGAATAACAACAAAGAGCTCTTTTAAAACCCTCAGTTTTTCATTAAAGATACCCACTCCTTCGACACCTGAATCTTTAAAGCGACGAACTGTGCCCACTGCCATGATAAAATGACCTCCTGGGACCTCAAGCCCTAACCCATTTTAGTCTGGAACAGTTTTCACAGCTTACGTCCAGCATTCACAACAAATTATGCCACTGCATTTTTGAGAGAACACACGCATCTGGGTCAGTTTTTGGAGCCCTGTCTTTTAAGCCTAACCACCTCCCTGGAAGCCATCCAATGGGTTAGCCTTCTTGGCTGCCACAGGGCTCTTAGTCCACCAAGAGACTTGTGGCACCCGGTGGACGTCCACAGTTCCCTCGGCCGGTGTTTCTGCGTCCGTGTGGTTTCTCCCAAACAAAACCATCAAAGTTTCCAAAAGTGTCAAGTCCCTTGGCGGCTGCACGAGAGAGTAAGGGTGGAAATTTCTAAAGGGCCTCGTGTTGTTTGTGAAGCAAAACAAGCTTGGTTGCAAAGCGATTTCAAAGAGGAAAGGAGAAAATGGCTAGTCTTTCACTTATCACAGGTCTCCGCTGTTTTGGCATGCAAACACACAGACACAACACACGGCACCCGCTCTAGGCGAGGAAGACCAGCTCCTACCACCCCCCCCATCATGTTTACCTTGCGGTGGCGCCCTTTGAAGACCACAGCAAAAGCACCATGTCCTATGAGGTCCTTCTTACTGTATTCAAAATCGCCCACCACTTCCATTCTCTTCAAGGGGGCATGAAGCCCAAGGGGTTTTGCTTTTCTGAGGAGGGGGGGAAGGATCAAAGGGAGAGGAATGGGGGGACCGGGCGAGGGGCAGCCCCAGCCAGCTACAATGAACTCACATCAGCAAAAATGATGGGGAAAAGCAGGGGGCAGGAAGGAGGGCTCCGTCCATCGCCCCCAAAGAAAGTGGGCAGCTGCCCACATATTGGGTGGAGAGGGGCAAGCTGGCTGCCTCCCCCCAGGCAAAAGGGGTGGGGGGATACTGGCTAGCAGGTCCAGCTTCCCAGAGGCAATGGGATTTCTCGGGCATGGGGAAGAAAGGATGACAGGCTGCAGGTGGGGTTTGGGGGGAGGGAGGCAAGCCTTTTTTTAAATAGGCACAAAAGGCACAGATGACGGTTCAAGGTCCCTTTCAGCAGTGGGGGGGGGTAAGAAGACAGGGGAATGGGGTTTTTGATGCAAGTGGTTACTAAGCAAGGGTAGCTTTTGTTTCTTAAGGCTCTCCGGTGTGTCGAGGTGGGTGGGTTATAGCACCTTTTAGCCAGAAAAAAGGGATTCGGGAGGGGGGAGAAGGGGGTCTGGGGTTCAGTATCAAAGACAAAAGGAGGCTGATCTAAGGCAGGTGGACAGATTTTTGGGAGGGGGGCTGTCAATAAAACCAAGGCAGCTGGATGGAAGATGCAATGTCAAAAACCTTTAAAACTGGGATATAAAAAAAAGACGGTGTCCCTTCAATGGGATTTTGGTGAATGTTCAATGATTAATTAAAAGTGATGGAGGCTGGCAAGTGGGGAGGAATAATCTCCCTAAATAAAACGGTGAGGGGGCTTGAAACCTCGAAAACGACGATGATTCCCTATACAGGATGAGAAATGGAAAATATCTACAAAGATGGAAAATATCTACAAAGAGGGAGGGAAAGCAATATCCCTGAGTGGAAAGACAGTGGGGATATCACGTGGGAATAAGGAATAAATGCGGGGTTAAAAGCCTTTTCAAAGGGGGAAACATAAAGAGCTTTCTAGGAGGACATTACAGGGGAGGGGAGAGATCAATAATAAGGAATAATAGGGAATGGGGAGGTGTTCGACACCCACCCCTTCAGGGGTCGCTCCCTATGGCCGTTTTACATCCTCACCCCCTTCCTCATTCGCTTGTGGGGTCGCCAGAGCGGCCCCCACCCCAAAAATGCCTAGCTAAGACAACCGTTTAAAAGAGGTTAACAGCGAAATGAAGGCCCAATCGCAGCTGGTAGGTGCCTCCAAGGGAGCGATATTTCAGGGCGAGGGAAGTGGGGAAGGGTGAGGGGGAAAAAAGGGGGGGGAATAAGGAGTCCTCTTGTCTTCGGAGGCCTCGGCTGCCCCCGCCGGCCTTCAGCTGCTTAAGGTTCCCAGGCCCAGCTCCTTCTCCGCTGACGTCCGGCTGCGAATGCCGAAGCCTCCGCACCGCGCAGCTCCGTTTATAGGACGCATCGCTCACGCGCTGGGAGCGCGTCTCCTTCCGCCGGGAGGGCGGCGGGGAGGAGGGGCCGGAGCGAAGGCGGAGGGCAAAGGAAAAAAAAGAGTCCGCGCGGGCGGGAAACTCGACCTGAGGGGGAAAGTGACCAAGCCTTTGGGCGCCATCTTGTTTGTGGTTAATGAATATGTAAATATATATGTAAATGAAAGCACAAGCCCACAAATAAAATCAATAGATGCACACTTTTGTACATATTTGCTGGATTCTGGGGTCCAATAAGAATGAACAGGTTTTTAAGGGGGTAGACCTCAGTGAGGGCTGGTTGCCAACTTCTTCATCAGCTCATGCTCCTATGCCAAGCTCATAAACATTTTATTTGTTTCTTTTATATATAGGTCGCCTTTCACACAGTAAGAGGACCCAAGGCAGCTCACGCTATTAAAAATAGATTTATAAATATAAGTTAAATATTAAGAAACAACTAAACTATACCCTAATTAAAATACAGCTGAATGATTAAAAGCAAGTTATCATTAAAACCCATCTTAACTGAAACACTAAAAAAACAATCTGAATTTGAAAAGGGGTACTTTAAACATGGGGCTGAGGGTTCTTTGGATTTGCTGAGGTTTGGGATTTCAACTCCCATCGGTCACAGCCAGCAGGACCAAAGGAAGGGGATTGTGGGAGTTGTAGTCCAAAACTGTTGGGGGGGGCAAAGCACTTCGCTCCTTTTTTGTTCGAGCTATATTCAAATGTCTGTAATATCTGCCCTGATGAAAGGACTTGTATATCTCAAAAGCTTGCACATTGGTGTCTGGCTCGTCAAAGGTTTATCAGCTTCAACTCGCTTGGCTCTTTAATTTAAAATAAATGAATGCATCCTTAGTATTGAAAAGGTCACAGCACGAGGGCTTCTGTCCACAGTTTGGACCTTGGTCTGGGATAGATGTTCAGCTGAACCTTGCAGTTTCCAACCCAGAAACTTAGCGCGGCCTCCAGATGCTGTCGGACTACAATTGCAGTACAAGGCTGATAGGAACTGCAATCAGTCGCCCAGCGTCAGCTCGGTCCCCATTCAATCTTTCAGTACACAATTCAAGGATTCTTAGTTGCTTTGATGGGCGATGTTCCAGCGCGGGTCAAGTTGATATCCTCAGGACTACAAATCCCATGAGGCTCAGCCCATGAACTTACTTTCCCCTCCAGCTCTGGCCGTCTTATTACCCCCAAATCTATAGTGAGGGAGACAGCCAGCAGGTAACCCAGGAAAGGAGCAAAATATTTCGTACTTCTATGACTCCCTTTTCCATCATTTTTTAAAAACAATCAAAGCAAACCTGAACAAAACACAAACCTTTTTTTTGTTGCAAGATCTGTCTCACTATGAATGCATTTAATTCGATTACTGCATGCGCAGATTGAGAACCAATAGCTGGGGTCTTCGGACATAAATTTCCCATTTTTCCTCCCTTTAAAAAAATTTGTTTTTATCCCATTCTCTGCTTGGTTTTCCCTCCCCTTTTGCCATTTTCCCTCTTCCGATGACTGGGCTTGATGTGAATGGAATTGCATGCTGCACCTAGCAACCGGGCTTATTCATTTATTTAATGGCTCATACGTGACGGGCAAAGATTAAAATGTACATTCCCACACTCCTCATCTCCACCCTCCATCTAATAAGTACAAATGTAATAGGAAAAGCAATGTACTGTAAAAGAAAAGTGGCTGGGGGGGGAGGCAGTGTTAAGTAGCGGTTAGAGTGCCAGCCAGTAGAGGTTGACATCCGGTCTCCGAAGAAAAACCTCGGCCCTTCGGTCTTGATCTGGCACAGATGTTACCAAACCAGAAGGAAACATCCTGCTTCAAAGTTTGCATACAGAGGAGCAAAAAGTGGCTTAATTTTTTTTAAAAGCTAGCATGCTGGAGAAAGGAAACCAGGCTTAACGGCTAGTTATTGATGTTGCTCAGTGGGATGACACAAACAACTACAAGACACATCTGGCTGGGTTGACCCACTGTGGTCATTGCCCCAGGGAGTAAACTGCGGTTTCCTTGCATCCTTTAAGAATCCATTGTGCCTCCTTAGAAGCTTTCCCTAAGTAAAACCAAACCCCTTTTGTAAATATTTTAAAACTTCCAATCTGCATCTCAGGCTGCAGCTACGGCAATGTTTAGCTGGGATGCCATCAGAGCGCCCGGCTATGAAAAATGGCCTCGTGTGGGTCCAACGGAGGCACCTTTTTCCTGCACGTCGAGGTGACAATTTTGGAAAAAATGAGCCTTTAAGGAGACAAAATCTAGCCAGCCAGGGAGGATCACGGCAGGACGTTTCCCCGGAGATCCATTCTCCCCACTGAGATCCCATCACTGACTCGCAGGGGAAAAAGACAGCTCAGGCAGTGTTTAAGGAGATCAATCAACTCGAGTGGCGGTTGATTAATTAGCTTAGAACAACGGGGCTCCTGATTCTGATGCTCGTCCGTCTGGGACCATTAGGGAAGGAAAAAGCAGCACCCCAAAAAATAAACCCCCTCCAACCCGGGTGAAGTCAGGGAAAAAGTGTCACCGAGGGACAACCGGCACAGCGCTATTTAGGTTACGAAAACTGCCAGGGGGGGATTTTAAAAAACAAACCTCGCATCCTGAACTGTCCAAGCGCATAAAACCATTTCAAAGGGCAAACCCAGAGGGAGGGAGCGGGCAGCGATCTTGAATGAACCTTTAGTTCTCCACTGAAAATTAAATGGACCCAGCTTCTTGGGGTTTATATTCGTAGGTGCTTCCTGATTCCCCATCCCTCCTCCCCGGGGGAAAAAGGGCGAAAACGTTTCGTGGCTGTAAAAGGCAAAAGATACGTTGGAGATGAGTGATAGAATAAAAGAGTGATGAGAAACTTGTTTTCTCCCGAGGTTTTGCCGTCAAGCCACGTCAAGGTCGCAAAAAGGTGTAAGGATTTATTGAGTTATGGGGCCACTGAAACTTTTCTTAAAAAGCACTATTACCATATTGAAGTTTAAAAAAGAAAAGTGCCATGTGGATAAATTTTTTAAGTAATTTTCTACTGATACAACAGAGATAGCTGTATTTTGGGACATTTGATTACCTCCAAAGAGTCCGGACATAAATGGCGTAAACCCAAGAACGGTAAATTACTAACAGAATGGCCATTTTCGTCTCCCTCTTCTATTAAGTGTCCAAACTTGACAATACACCAGTTCAAAGTTGATGTAATTTTGGGATAAATGTGAAGAATGCGGAGATTAATTTCCAAGTCGGTGGCCGGCCGGCGCAGCAAAGGCCACCACCTTAAAAAGAGACTGCAAACTGACGGAAGGTAGATGGATCTATTAGGCCTCAATAGAACCTCTCAAGTCCAAGGCAGTCTACCTCCAAACCACTTTTGCTCAGGAACAATGCCAGGAGGCCGTTGCATTCAGAGGGGTCAGGGCCACGGATTGATTCTGACCCTCCAATTTTTCTGGTTCTGTCACCCAAGATGGGGAGAAAAGGGTGCAGCTTGAAATCCCAGGAAGTGACAAACACCGAGGTATATATTGCTCCTTGATCCAGATAGGCAATGTAGAACCTTCCTTCCTAAAACGGATGGCAGGAAGGCCACCCTCTGCATCACGAGAGAGCATCACGGGACAGAACAGTTTCGTGTCAACAGTCCTTCCTTGCCCGCTATCGCCTCCATCTGTTTGAGCAAAACAAAAAATAATAAAAAAATAAAAAATAAAAAAGGGGGGAGGGAAATGAGCATCTTTATCCTCCTCCGGAGAGCCTAACATAGGCTGCATGCCATCGGTACAACCCTGCAAGGTAGCTGGGAGCTAATCCCAGGAACACAAAGGAAGATCTTTGATTGAGGGGCGACGGCATTTGAACTCGAGTCCCATTCCATCTTTTCTGGACAGCCCCCCAGCGGTGTCCTCCTTGGTTTTATCTCCTGTTGCATTTGCTTTCTCAGATTTTGCCCCTTGCTCAAAGGCCACTCTTTAGCCCCCCAGCGGTGTCCTCCTTGGTTTTACTCTCCTGTTGCATTTGGTTTCTCAGATTTTGCCCCTTTCTCAAAGGGCACTCTTTTGTGATTAACAACAACAACAAAAACAACATGGTCAAATCCCACTCTTTTGTGGTTCAAACCAGCGCCTGGGAAAGTTATTTTCGTTATCTTTCATTAAAGACAGTTTTCCAAATCCACCGACGCGAGGGCCAGTTTAAGGGAGCGGTTATCTAGGAAAAGAACTTTGCAAAGTTCTGGGACGAACCCCTAAACAACGGTGTTCCATAGCTCTCCCTTTTTCATACACGCCATCCAGAGGAAAGACTGAACATCCTTTCCATTAACAGATATTTTACTCCAGTATCCCAAGCAAAATAGCTACACTCCTCTCTCTCTCACACACACACCCCATAATACTTACATCCGGAGGCATTTATCTTTGCCTCCGCTCGCTACCCGTTGCCCGTCCGGGCTCCAGTCCACAGCAAACACCTGGGAACAGAGGTGGAAGGGAGGCCGTGAGGGATGTGACCGACTCTGAACGCCTGGCGGGGCCCGTCCTGTACCCCAAAATGAATCAGAAAGGGCAGGTTGTCAACAGTCACAGAGCTGCTGGCTAGAGAAGTGCCAATAACGCTTCGGTCGCAGCCCTGAGGAAATTGAGGAGGGGGTGGTCCCTGTTCCCTAGCTTAGGGAGAGGCGCCGGGGTCTGTGGGCAGAGGAAAAGGATCACGCCCCCCCCATGCCATCACAAGGTTTCTCAATACTGGCTCGCTAGACAGGTGAGCGGACCGCAGGGCACAGGTGAGGGAGGGGAAAGTCCCCTAAAAAAAAGAACGGGCCAGGAGACGAAAAAGGTGTCTCTCTCTCTCTCTCTTTCCGAGTCCCTGGAAAGCCACCGCCAGAGTGCCAGCCTTGTTTTCTCCGAAGCGGATGAAAGGTTTCTAAGTCGAAGACGCATCGAGAACCAGAAGATGAGAGGGTGGGGCCGCTGGAACGTACCTGGGGGAAGGAGTCCCGAGCCCGACCGGGCTGCTGGTCGCCACCTTACCTCGTCGGCGTGGCCAGGCAGGTCGACGGCCAGCTTCTGGGTCTTGACATCCCACACTTTGAGGGTACTGTCGCTGCTCCCGCTGACCAGCAGGCGGCTGTCGGCTGACCACGCGATTTGGTACACCGCGGAAACGTGGCCACGCAGGGAAGCGAGGTACCTGCAGGAAAAATTCGAGATCTAGAGTGTGGATGGTGAAAATGTTTCCCGCCACCCCCCCGGAGATGCCCCAAAACAGAGAATCATAATCCACGAAGGATGTCCCATTCACAGCTTTTGCATCGTCCCTGTGTCATGAGGACTTGGAACTTGCTTTTAAAGGAAAAAAACAAGATGCAAGAGCTCTTAGCTGAAGGGTTTGTAGCTTTAATAATTCACTGTTTCATTTTAGAATTGTGACCCAGCGTGACTTCTGTGTCTATAAGAAACTGGGAGAGCGAGATGACTGCAATGAGTAGAATAATGTTAATTAAGAAACGTACTTCCCGGTTTTTCCATCCCACAACTTCACAGATTTATCGAAGGAAGCGCTAGCGATGATCCGGGTGTCTGGAGAAAAGAGGACCTGATTAATAAGAGCCTGATGTCCTGTCATTCTCCCCAAGGGCTTCTTGTCGTCCGCCGGCACCCACAGGAAGAGAGTGAAGTCATCGGATCCGGAGACTAGCCGTTCAGGACCCTGGCCCTGCAGAGGAGTGGGGAGAGGAAAATAAATATTTTCCCATCCAGCCTCTCATTTTTACATTTAGTGACCGGAGGCTGCCGGATGTTGCCTGTCCAGTTGAAAGGAAAGGTAGAACAGAAATGGAGGACATGCAACAATAGAAGATTAAAAAATATGCTTTTAAAATAGGATCATTCAAAGTGGAGAAAAATCAAGAGGGTACATTGCCTGGTCACCTGGCAATCTGATTCTCACTCACCCTAGGTGATCGGGTATTCCTCGTTCAAAGGGTGAACAGGGATGCCAACTTACCCGAACTTGGTTGTATCTCTGCAGTGCTTTCTGCTTGATCTCGGCCGCTGTGGGGTTAAGGAAATATACTTCTAATTGTTCCATAAACAAAAGGTTTGAATGAAACAGTAGAGCCTTGTCAAAAAATATTTTTCCCCACCCTTGACTCTGTGGTCTCTGAGATTTTAAGCAAGTGAAGTTTTAAAGACAAGAGGCCTGAGGACTAGAAACTTGATCTGACCAATAAACACAGATTCTCAGAAGGCACTCAATTTTGTATGCCGTGAGAATCCATGGTTGCCACCGATGATGGCCAACTGATGGCTGGATGAGCAAGAGGCTCTTACGGGATCCGCTCACATCCTGGGGGTTGATGGAAGCCTCGGCTGGCTCAAACGCGCCCGTGCGGAGAACATAGTCCGTGCTGAGTGCCATGGTGTTCACCCAGTGCGCATGACCTTGCAGCGTGCGACACAGGACCCCCTGGAAGGGAAGAGATGGGCCAAATCATCCTCACAGTCAAGCTCCATCCATCTTTCCGAGCTCAATGCATTCGGTCTGCTGGGTGGGAGGAGCCTGGGAGCAGGGAAGCGTGACTGGAAGAGGAGCCAAGCACAGCTTGAGGTTCTACCGGCTAGGCCTGTCTAGAACCAAGAGTCCTTATATGGGAATAAGAAGGGGGTGTGGCTATAATTTCTCAGGCTATGATTGGACAATACCCGTCTAGGCACCTGATTGGCTTAAGGAGGGTATAAACCACAGCCCCACCGCTGCTCCCCACACTTACATCGTGGGCTCGCCAGACCTTGATGGTCCGATCCTGGGAGGAAGAAAAGAGCAACCCGTCGCCACCCCACTTGACGCACGTCACCGACTGTGTGTGTCCGGTCAGGATCTTATCACAACGGCCGGCAACTGTGTCCCAGGTGCGAATGCTGCCGTCTTTGGAGGAACTGGCCAGGTAACGACACTCTGGGTTCCTGTGGAGGACCAGGGGGGAAAAAAACACAAGCCAAAACAGAAAAAGTTAGGCAAATGCTTGGCTCACTCCAACATAGAGAGAAATCAAAACACCGCAAACATGATCCAGACCCCCTCCGGCATCAAACCCGTATCTGCACAAAGCTTTTCAATTATAAAACATAAGCTTATCGGTCTCCTGGCGCAGAAATCCGGGGCCCCGGCGCTCTCGGCATGCTCACAGAAATTAAACTGCCACCGAGCGACGTTGGCTAGTTTTGCTTTTGGGGCGTCTTGAGCCAAAAGGACAGGAAGAGGCAAAAATCCTGGGGAAAGTGGCTTACAAATGCAGTGGCTCCCAGCAGAGAGAAGTGACCCATTTGGAGTGTCCCGCGAGCACCCGTCCGATCTGGTTCCCCGTGTTTGGGTCCCAGAGAAATATCTAGAAAAATAAGTAAATAAATAAATAAAAGTTAGCCACCCCAGCCAACCTCCAAGCTGGCAGGGCCCCGTGTTTCATTCCTGGCGATGCAAGGCCTCGTGGAAGACATCTCTGAGTCCCTCTTGAGCTTTGCGTCACAGAGTTTATTTTCCTTTGCCCTCCTCGCGGGCTTTTCCTTTGGAGTCATGTCCTTTTGGACTCAAGAGACTGAGAGCAGAGGGCTTAAAACACCCACCCACCCGATACTTTATTGACTCCAAGAAACTTCCTAGATTTACAGTTGGGAGTGTAAATGGGATAGGAAAAACTAACCACGCAAGACAGCCTTGCGACGTTGGCGGGGTTTCTGGTCCCGCGAGGCAATAGCGAAAGGGATGGCTCTCTCCAGCTGCCTGAAGGAGGAACCCTTGAGGTCCGAATGTGCCCCAAAGAGAGTCACTCCTAAAAACAGCTGAAGGTGCAGAAGCCCGCAGGACGTGGCAACCTTTACCTGGCCGTTTTTGCAGCCGGACGCCAGCTTCCTGCCATCGGGAGACCATGCGATGCTGAGCACCCAGTGACGGTGACCTGGGAGCAGAAAGAAAGGGGACCGGGTATGAAAGCCGTTAAGGAGTGAGGTGCACAACCCAAACAGAAGCCACGAGGTCCATTACATGACGGCGCAGGGAAAAGGCGGCTGCTTGCCGGAAAAAGACGCCAGAGACCCCTCTTTGGAGGTCAGCCCCCGAGACCAGAGGGGAGGAATGATTTGGGGTGTTGCATTCTGCCCTGAGAGGCCAGGAGGAGCGTCGAAGCCTGGGCACGGTACAAGGCGGCCAGGCTTGAACTGCTAAGATGCTGGACTGCAGCCATTATGCAAAAGTCATGATCTCCTACGGTTCTGTTTCAGAGAGAGCCTTCCCATCCCAAAGCCAGAGATTCCGGCGTGCTTCGCTTGCACGTGAATCAGGGCCTCGCTGGTCCTTTCAGCTTCTCGCGACCCACCTTTGGCTGTGAACTGCGGGGTCTCCGTGCTGAGGTCCCAGAAGCGTACGGTTGTGTCGCCCGAGCCGCTGGCCAAGTACCTGAAAAGACGACAAAGGAGCTGGTTGAGAAAGTGCGCAACGGGGGACCCCCCATGGCTTCGTTCCCCGTTGGCTTCCCTGGAAAACTAGCAAACGGCCAGAATAATTCTCCAAAAATGGGAAATCTCCCACTCAAGCTACACAATTAAACATGCCTGCGAGATACTGCAGGACCCCTGTATCCGTGGAGGATTGGTTCCGAGTCCCCCTGAGGATGCTGAAAGATGTGGATTATAGCAAACACTATTTTAATAGCAACCTGTATACATACATGGTCTCTGTTTCCCACGGGTAGCGAGAGAGATAAGGGGGGTTCTTTTAATATTTTCAGACCATGGAAAATGGAATCAGCGGATACCGATCCTGCGTATACGGGGGGTCTTGCTCTACCTTCAGCTGGGAAACAGCCCTCTTTTCCTGCAGTACCCTCTCCTCCTCCTCCCCCCCATGCCTCCACCATCTCTCCCCACCAAGCTTACTTCCCGGTAGGACTGAAGGCGACCGAGATGACGGCTTCGCTGTGGCCTTCCAGGGAGCTGGTGCAACGCGTGACGGCCCGCACTCTGAACACGGCCTGGGGCTGGTAAGTGACGTCCACCACCCGTTCGGTCTCCAGCGCCTGGGCGGCCAAGGTCTTCTCCAAGGAGGTGACGATTTCGGCGTCCTGGACGTAGAAGGCCAAGGGTGGAGGCTCCTCCTTCAAGAGAAAAGAGGTCCAGGGTGGTGTGTTTGTGTACGTGTGTGTACACGTGTTAACTTTACAAGTTTTAAAACCCACTCTGGACATTTCTGATTTTGAGAAGGTACCAATCCTTTCTCTGCACGATTTTTTTAATACTTCATCTTTCCGGACCAAATCCACAATTGAAACCACCCCCCGGGAGTCTTTCCGGCCATACCACACGACGCTAATTTATTTGCTAATTCCTGTAATTGCGATGCATGCTGTCATTCAGTGTTTACTCTTCATTATTCTGGTTTTACTTTGCTTGCAAACCACCTAGAAAAGTGCACCAGCACGAATAGGGCAGTATATGAAATAAATAGAATAAATTCCAAATAAAACCACCAACGGAGTGACTCTGTAGCTCAGCTCTAACCACCGAACTAGGACTGATATGTCCTTTTTCTGCCCAGCCCAGAAACCTTTGTGTTGGTTACGGCTGGCCGGGTGCAGGAGACCAGTCGCCTCTCGTTTTAACCTCTGGCAGGAGGTGGTCATCATCCCCCCCCGTACCTTCGCCAAGAGGGCATTGCAGACCAGCTGAAGCTTGTCGGGTGTGATGTCAATGGGGACGTCGAAGGGCGAGCCCAAGATTTCCCCGGCTTCATCTTTGAACTGGATCAGGAGCCGCTCAACGTCCGCCTTCATTTTAAAAAAATATATACACTGTATGTTGTTTCACACTGGGACCTGTTGGGGAAAAAAAAAATTAATGACATACGCTCTCTCACCAACCGCTGGGGAACAGCTTCCATCTCTGCTAGACCTCTCCTTTCTTCTCAACATTTAGGGGGAAAGTGGGAATGTCTTGCCATCCGATCCTGATCTTAAGGGGGGAAAAGGGCTTTTTATGACTCAGTGAGGACTAGAACCTTTGTCTCCCAAGTCGTAAACCAAAGCCTGAACCGCAACGCTTATCCTGACTCTTTTGAGTCTCATGACATCGTAAAGATGAAAAAAAAATTCTTTTTTTATGAACTCATCTCCATCAGATATAAGCCCACTCCAGTGGGTGAATTGCAATCACAAGGTGGCTTCGAATATACATAAACAGCCAGACGGATCAGAAACTCCAGCCCCTTTTCAACAACATACAAGAAATCCTGTCTGCAACCAGGCTGCCCAAACCTTGAAACCACCCACCGCCCCTCTAGGGAAAGTATAGGGGCTGGACGCAACCCTAGCCCAAAAGGGCTTGGGTTCAAATCCTGCCTCTGCCATGAAGGGGCCCTTGCCCAGTTGTTCACAGTCAAACTGTCCCACCTCAGAGGGTTGTTGCTCAGGTGACATGGGGAGGAGACTTGTATGCCTCCGAGTTGCAAACACCCTTCTTTTTTTTGTTCTCAATCTCCAAGAACAGCACCATCACAGGGCAAATCCCTCAAGGTCTGCCTCCAACCAGGATCAGACCACCTCCTGCCTGTCCCTCTGAGCCCATACATCATCCTCTCCCCAGAGGCTGGGTCTTCATCCTCGTCTCCCACACCCCAAAACTTTGGGGCTCAAAGGTTTCCTGCCCGCCCATTTCCCTCCCCTGGGTTTCTTGGCCCTTCTCCTTGGCCCCCTAAAACCCAGGACCCACCACTTCTCCTCCCCTGGGCCAAATCCTGGCGGCTCCCACCCGAGCACCAAGCCCTGCCGCTCACCTGGTCCTGGAGCGCCACCGGGTCTGAGGCTTCGGCTCTTCTTTCCCAGCGGCGCCCACGTGGAGGGAAGACAGCCGGGCCTTGCGCAACGTCATCACTCCGCGCCCGGGAGTTGCTGGCCAGGAAAAGGACTCTGCTGCCCTCTATTGGGGAAAGCTGGAGCTTTAAAGCTGATTAAGCTTTATGATGGGAGGGGGGGAGCGGTAGCCAATTTACTCAGGTGCCAAAGCAGGCTCCCTTCGGTTTGCACAAAGACAGGGGCTTTTCCTCTTCTCGCACATACTCATCAGCCCCACGTGCAAGTTTTCCAGTCCTACCCTGCTGTGTGTGGCTTAAATTATTTTCCCCACAGTGCCGCTCCTGCGCTGCACACGTGAAATGCAGGCTACTTTACTCTCTTGAGTCTCTGGCTCATCATCTCCAGCCCTGCCAGGCGGTTTTCTGCCTTCTGCTCCACCAGGCAAGACAGGAAGGAGCCCTCTGGGTCCTTCTCCGCTCCCCTTAAATGAGGTGCCATCACGTTGATTCCAACCTAACAGGGGCCCCCTTTGCTAGGCAGCAGAGACTCAGAAAGGGTTAAGCCGTCCTTTCCTTTTACCCGCACCCCGGGGCTATGCAGCTTCTCAAGCTCAAAAGTCACAGGGAGGATTTGAACTCTTAACCCTGAGCTCCCTGGATGCGGCTGGACTGCACCCCCCATTATCCTTCAACACCGGCTTGGTGAAAGTTGTAGTCCAACACCAACTACCAGGCCATCTGCCTTTCAAGCACGGTCGTCCCCTCCGCACTGCAGGTTTGGGTCGAGAAACCCACCCCAAAGGATCTGACCTGAGCTTTTTTTTTATTACTATGGCGGTGTGGGAATTGAACCCAGAACTCTTTGAGTGCGAGACAGACAGAGAGGCCTTACCAGTGACCGTCACAGCCTTCATTTGACAAATGGTGCCTTTCCGCTCAGGAAAGAAAAGGCACGTTTGGATGGTTTTCATGTACACACACAACAGACACAGACCGATTTGTAATATTATATATATATAATTTATATATATTTCAATCAAAACACAATTAAATATGGTTTAAGTACATGAATACTTGAGCATCAGACAGTAAGTTGGTGGTACACAGTACCAAAAAACCTATACACGGAGTTTTGCTTCTGGCCGGCCCCCCCGAAGCACAGTGACTGCCAGGGAAAGAGGAGAGTTTTGGGGGGGGGGAAGCAGAACCGTCTGCTCCACCAGTCGAGCTTTTCTGGATGCTGGGAGGCCGCTCAAAAGCTCTCCCTGGAGGGACTCGGGCTGTGTTTTGCTTCTGTTAGTTCTACACCCAAGTCTTTTGGGGGGGGGAATGTATAGGATTTTGGGGGGATGGGTGGGAAGAACCCTCCGAACAGACCATGTTTCCAGAGAGGTGGAGGCTTTTCGAGGGACAAAGATGCCACCCACCGGCTTAGGGTGGTGCGGCCCCGGCTTTGAGAGTGCTCTGAGCACGCCAGGAAAATGAGCTGCCCGTTGCCGTTGTTGGGATAGAGGAGATCTCGCTCTGGGGTGTGGGAGAGATACGAGCCAAACAATAGTGATGGGGGGGCGGAAACGGCAGAAGAGGCCCAAAGCCTTAAAACTGGCCACGAAAATATATATATATTTTTAAAGGGGGAGGAGAAAGACTGGTGGAAGGAGGATTCTTTGAATGCAATGGGAGCATCTGTGCAACAGCCTCACCCTCTTCCCTCTCTCTGGGACACCCAGGAGAAAAGGTCCCTTTCCTTCTGCCCGTATTTCGCTCCCAGGGCCCTTGCAGGAGGAGGGGGTCCTGGTACTGAGCCATTCGGAAACAAGGGAACGTGCGTGGCCGAAGACAAAGGCCCAGAGGGGCACAGCGGGATGGTTGTCGTCCTTCGTCCCCATGGTCCATTTCCAGTGGTGGGACGTGCAGTTCGCGACATCCTCAGAACACTTCAAGTAAGGGGATAACTCTGGGTGAGGTTTTTTCTTTTCCTTCTTTTTCCTTTTTCTTATAGGACTCTGAGAAAGTTTAAAGAGATGCTCTCCTCCCCCATACCTTTTTTGATCGCAGGTATTATTTGCAGCAAAAAAGCAAGCCACAGCGAGGAGAATCGGAGGGGGAGAGAACCTGCCTTCGGTCCCCAACACGGGCTGTATTCCAGTTTCAAATAATTCGGGCCAAGAATCCTTTGCAGATGGAGCGCAGTGGGGGTTATTTTGAGGCAGCAACAGGGTCTTACCAGAGGAAGTCTAGCCCCCCTTCCCTCCCCGATGTCCTTTCTAAAAGGAGAGAAGGGCAGAACATTACCCGCTAGTAGAAGTTCACAGAGTTTGGGTTTGACTAGCTTTGTCGAAAGAGGAGTCAACCAGAAGGAAGGTTGGGTTTTGTTTTGTTTTGTTTTGAAGAAGGGCAAGGCTGTAGGGAGAGAACAAGTCCACTTATCTTCAGAGGCAAAAATCACAACACCTCCTTTGTCTTGGGAAGTTTGAAGATCATAGCTGAAGAGGACAGAAGAGAGAGGATGATTTGACAGTGGAATGCCTCCCATTCAACAGCACCAATTAAACACTTACTGTCTCCACCTCTCCACCAGGCTGCATGGCATCCCCATTGGCCCAAAACACTGCTCGAGGGGATCCTGGTGCGGGTTCCCTCCAACTCCCCTCCCCATGTGGTCTGTCGGCCCGTACAAGCGCCAGCGGAGCAGTCTTCATCGAAGGCCCTCGCGCTGTCTGGCCTGCAGAGAGGGGCTACCGACAAGGGGCCAGGCTCCCCGCCCTGAGAGGAAAGGGCTTACGGCCATGACGAGCCTTTTGCCATTAGTTACCTTTGTGATTTTTTCCACCCCTGGGTGGGGCTGCGCCTGCTGCAGGACGTCGTTGACGATCATCTTGGCGATCCGCCAGGCCATCTCTTCCTGGGCCTGCGGCAGACAAGAGGGGCTCCTCTGAGTCGTGCTCTGACACGCGAGCCCACAAAGGCAAGGAAAAAAGCCACAGGCCTCTCCCACCGTCGAGGACCACCCACCACTCAGCATCGGCCCGAAACGGGCTTTGAGAGGGTCCATGGTAAAGTGCTACTGTATATATTTTCGGTTCCATTGCATGGCACAGAATTGGACTATTTTTAATACAAAGAGAGGTGGAAGCGGGTTGAGAAGAAGTTCTCAGCTCCAGAGGGGGTGGAGTGGGTGACCAAGGAATAAGTACTGGATGGAATGAGTAAAGCCCTTCCCCACTTTCATTACACTTCAAAAATCCAGAAAAAGCTAGAATACTCTGGTCACGGTAAGCTCCCCACTTTCATTACACTTCAAAAATCCAAAAAAAAAAAGCTAGAATACTCTGGTCACGGTAATGAGAATCATATCTGTAATCATTTAAGGTCAAATGAATAGGAAAAGGAACACTGGCATGAGAGACGCGAAAGACCCCTCTGGATGCAACAGAACTTCTTTTCTGCCACAGATGGAAGCGTCCCAGTGGCCCCCAGCCTTCAACAGGAGAGAAACGAGACAATGAAGCAGGGATCCAACAGAGGGGATGCCCAAGCTCCTGGACCCCTGAGGCTGTGTTCCTTTTGCCTGATTTCTTTCCCCCCCCCCCGGGTCTTCAGACCCAGACAGTCGCCCTCCCCTCTGGGAAATACTCTCCTCAGGACTAACGGGAAACACAGGGGCGCTCATTCCGCTGCTTCTGGAGGCCACGGCTGAACGTACGGGCTTACCTCGTCAGTGTTTCCCTGCACCCATTTCTTCATAGCTTGTGAAAACATGGACCCTGAAAGGGGGGGGGAGAGAGAGAAGAAAAGCAGGAGCCGCAAGGCCATGTTATTCTGAGGACAGAGAGAGCCTCTCTTTCTCTCTTCACCTCCAGGCTGCTTAATTTCAGGCCCTCCTTCTCCCTCCTGCTGGGGTCCTTAGTCCTGCCACCCACTCCTGCAACCGCCCCCGAAGGAAAACCTGCCCCACCTGCTTTAGGTGGGCACCTTCCTCGGAGGTGAACGACCGCCGGTTCCTCTTGAGGCATACCCTCCATTCTTGCCTGCGGGCAGATCCAGCTGACTGGGAACGTGGCTTACCTTTGGACTTCTTGACGTCCGGCTCTGGCTCTGATTCTCGGATGAACTGCCCCAGGTCACTGACGCGCCCAAACGTCATCTTCCTGCGGTGGGAGTCGGGAAAGAGAGAAAGACAGTCCCAGGCAGTGAGCTTGGGGAGGTTCGACTCTCAGCACAGAGGAAGCAGAACTGGTGGGAGGGGAGGGAACTCCTATCTTTCTCTCTTTTCACATACATGATACCTCCCAGAATCCCCCAGCCTTGAGGATCTTAGCAACAGACACCCTGGAGATTCTTGATTTCAACCTACAGCACAGCGGGAGAAGCCACAGGTGTCCTCGGCAGCACCACCACGGAGGTGTTCAGGGGGCCCTCCAGCTCTCCACAGAGCAGCCTGTGGAAGGGCCCGAGACAACAGAAAGCCGGAGCCTCTCCTGGGAAACTCTTACGAGTTACAGGTATTTCCTGCAGCCACAGGAAACTTGACTGCAAGAAAACTGAATTTTTGGCTGAAATCACTGGAGGTCCCGTTCTTTCGTTTGCACCTTTTTCTGCAGCCAAGGAGAGGTGATACTCCTCAGGCCGAGCTAGAAACACTCCAGGCGATTCTCTGGCTCCTTAGCTAGGGTGCCGGAATGTATGGGCACCTCTCCGCTGCAGACCCCCCCCCCGCCGCTTTAAAGGAAGCTTACCCGGCATACGTCCGTTGATACAAAGACTCCGGATCCAGGCTGGCGGCATCTACAATTATTGCTTCGTCAAAGTTTTTCAGGATTTTTATGTTGGCCTTTCGGTGGCTGGCCTGCAACGAAAATCCCAGGGACTGTTAATCGGGGGAGAGGGAGAGGAGAAAAGTAACAGGCGGGATCTAGATCCCGCGGACGTTTGGAGCACAACAGCGGATGGAATTAAGTGATTGTGGCAGGCCGGTGCCATCGGGATCTGGCCGGGTTGCCGCCCTTCTGGAATTCCCTCCTGCAGTCCGAGCTCAACTATGCTGTTATTTTTGGGCCCTCTGCATTGGGCCCGAGAAGCAGCCACGCACCTGGGAAGGAGCGGCACTGTCGGAGGCCCCCGTGTGGTGGGAATCATGGTCAGGCGTGCTGCCCGGGCCGTGGGCGGTCAGTGCGAGGCCTCCACCAGCAAATTCGTCCCCCCGGACCGAATGGATGAGGTCGTTCAAGTATTTGTAATACAGGTTGCTGGACAGGAAGCCAGGTAAAAAAACCTGGAAGACAGGAGATGCAGGAAGGGAACTGATGCACCAGAGCACACGGTTTCAAATACAGGACTTGGGAGCACAAGGGTGGGGAGAGACGGCTCCTGCCATCTCCAGCTCAAAGACTCTTAAGGACAGCGGCAGGAAGGATTCTTCGCCATTCCGGTGAGTGTTAAAGAGGCCTGACGAAGCCCCGTGAAGACCATCATCCTGCTGGTCCCTGTTGCCCTGCTACTACATTTCAACAGTCGAAGGCAGCCAAGCCTCTGGAAAGACCCAGACACCCGGAGGGGGGGGCGAGGAGGGGAGAGCAGAGGGGAAGCCCAGCTGACCTTCTCCATCGTAGTCCAGGCCTGCCGCAACGGAGTGGTGAAGCAGTTGGGGAGGGGCCCCCCCTCCCGGCAGATGTTGGATTCTATTTCCAGGCGCACAGAGTCATCGAAACCCAGAGGATGAGTGGCCTGCAGGGAGAAGTACCTACAGCAAGGCGCAGAGGAGGGGAAGAGAGGGTGGGTCAGGACCAAGAGAACCCACCAATGTCTAATGGAAACCCATTACACGAAACACCGAGGAAGCCAAGTTGGAAGAAGCAAACCCTCTGGCCACCCTCCTGCTCTTCCCTTATTTCGGTTTCCGGCCAAGAAATCCACTTTGGGCGTTTGACTGGCCTGTCAGGATAAACCCTCTTTGCAGCTTGTGACACGAGACCCAAAGCGGCGGCTGGATCGCAGCTGGGAGGCGGAAAGCGCCCCAGGCTGGTGTGACATGACATGGAGACCCCATGGAAACCCCTTCCTGCCGCCTGAACGTGTTTAGAGATGGACCGAATTGTAAGGAAGGTCCGTGCTCGGGGATTAGGGGGGTGTCAGAAAACCACAACAGCAGGGAGTCCAAGGGGCAGCCTTTTAATTAAGTGTTTTTTTCCAACTGCTACAAAGGAAAAGCGGAACAGAGTACAAGCAGGAGGGGGAAAAGAAAAATCTTCATGGAATGATCTGATAGTTTTTTGTTTGGAGGCAACATGATGGCATTGTTTTCGCCTCGCAGCCTCTCACGTCAGAATAGACGCGCATGGTGATGTCTGACCTCCAATAGGAAAAGCATGAGAAGAGGAAGAGAAAGAAACCATGACAAAGACATGCAGGAAAGCGAAGGAGAAGACGGACCCGAGGGCAGAGCGGCAGGCCAGAAGCTGCTGAGCAGGAAGAGGGAGGGAAGAAGGAAGGAAGGAAACGGAACTCACTTATCGTATAAGATCATGGCATCATTTTGCGCCTCCTGCCCGTCGTACTGGCCCTCCTTGGCTGCCAGTTGGGACTGGAAATTGTCCGCTGCCAGCCAGAACTGCAGGATGTTGACTGCATCTTCCTTCTCCATGTACTGGGGAGGAAGGGGGGGGAGAAAATTGAGAAGTGAGCAAAAATCTCCCTCCTGCAGTTCTGGAAATATACAGAGGCAGGGCATGAATGTTTCCTTCTCAAGATGCACACATCTGGAGGAACCTGCCACCCCCGAGGGAGAGGAGGGTCAGGGGTCCAGCTCGGAGCCTAGAGACTCGCCCTGGAAGTTCTTGGCCGAAGAATCATCAGGCACTGGGAGAAACCGAGAGCAAAGATCATTCTTTTGAGCAGCTTGACCTATTAAGAGAAAGTGCTTGCTCTAAATATGCTAAGCAACTCTCCAGAACTTTTCAGGTTGCTGTTTCACAGTTGCATAGCTAAAGTGACGATGCTGTGTTTTTATATTTTTAGAGCTGCTCTGCCACCTTCTCTCAAGTTTACAAGGATAGTGTGATAAGCAGGGAGACGTATCTCTTAACCAGCAACGGCCAGCCCATCTGGGCAGGATGAACACAGCCTTCCACGATCTAGGTCCCTCCAAAACATCGGGGTGACAGCTATAGAGGCTCTACAGGCCAAATCTGATGTATTCTGCAGACCCCTAAGGGACTTGCACGGTCTGCTAATTATTGCCAGTTTTGGAAAACAGCAGTTCTCAGCCTGATAAAGATGTGGGTGCCCTAAAATAGTGCTCAAATGAGCCATCAGTCCTCTCGCAGGGGTGTCTAGATGGGCTCATTTTATGCAGGCCATAAGCAGCCCATGTGTTCTTTCCTGCGACCAAGCAGAAATTTTAAAATGATCAAGAAAAGGAAGAAGTGGGAGCCGAGTTACCTCAGAGAAATAGAAGAGGGCAGATTCGCAGAAGAGAATGTCGGCCAGGTAGACGGTCCCGCTAGTCAGCACCTCGATCTGGTACTTACAGAAGTGGTGGCTTCGGAGGAATTCACTAAAGTGCCTGCATGAGAGGAAGAGCAGGCGGGCTGAGACTATGCGAGAAGCACTCCGATGCCGACTCCGGCTGAGCCACGCAAAAGATGCCACCGGGAACAGCAAGGAAGAGGAGGTGACCTCCTCAAAAATGTCCCCCTCTTCTTACTGAGTGCTGGCTAGCATGGACATTACCCCAGAGACATAACCTCGGCAGTGTCCCCCCCCATTACACACACACCCCACAACAGCTTGAAAGACAGTCCTTGAGGCACTCGGGTCAAAAAGGGTCAGAAGGACCAGGAAGCAAGGGCCCCTAAAAAACAGGCCAAGCCAAGCGAGGAGAGATGGACCAAGCCATCTCCCCACCCCCACCCCACCGAGAAAAGCGTCCAGGGGAGTCTGGCTCCCTCATCCAAGCAGCAAGAGAAGGCTCTTGCCCCTCTGCCCCATAGATATATATATATTTAAAAGAGGGGACCCACTTACTCTTGTTCCATGGCATTAAACACTATTGACTGGGCCATGACGAAGCAGTTGGGGTCCACCTGTCCATCTTCCCCGCAGATCTTTGCTGCAAGGTCACACCAGATCAGACGGCAGTTAGTGGCACTGAATTACGAGATAACACAGTACACAGACAGCAAAGTGGTTCACATGCTGTAAGGCCACAATCTCAGGCAGAAACACCGACAGGGTTTGAAGTCGGGGGGAGGGGGTGGGGGTGTCTGCAGGCTGGGAGGCTTCCCAGAGAAGGCCCTGGAGGCGGGAGGGGGAGCGGGGCTGCCATAGCAAAGAGGTCCCTCTGCCTCTGAGCCCACTGCTCTCGGACAGCGGAAGACCAGACGACACACCCTTACCTACGATGTCGTTGCGCATCGGCTCTGTGACCGGTATCGGTTTAGCAGCATCGGGAGAAATATATTTGGTAAAAATTACAACCGCGTCCTGTTCTATACCTGCAAGAGGAAAAGGGAAGGTTGAAAGAACCGAAGATGGGGGTCGGGGGCGGTGGGGATAGCTAGCATGCGGGACAACCAGCCTCGGCCTCTACTGATGGAACGTTTCCAGACGTTCTCGAGCCATGAGCAGAACATACCGTTTTCTCCTCTCATACATTTCTCAACCCCTTGGGGAGAACCGAAATTTGAGGAGAAGCGAATAGTGACTTCCGAATGAAAACCAAAACTGGTTTTGCTCCCTGATTTCACCTGAAGGTTTCTCTTGGTTCTCCCAAGTTCCCAATTTTTCCACCAGGGAAAAGAAAAAAAGAAAATATATAGTGTAAAACACACACACACACACACACACAAGAAGCTTAGTCTCTCCCCGCCCCCCCAAATGTTGCCGTTTTTGAAACCTGAGTTTTTGCACCTTTATTCCTGCCAAGCTGCAGCCAGCCTTTTTTGGGTGGTTTTAAACAGGGGTGTTTTTTTCCACTTTTTTTTTTTTTTTGACAAATCAAAACAGATGCCAAGAGATTAAACGGCCATGGGTTTTTGGACCGCTTCCCTGGCTTGTAAACGCTCTGGCTGAGATATGCCCCCATTAGCCCGGCTCCCTCTCCCAACACGCTTGCCTCTCGCTGCCTGAAAGGCGGTTTGAACAAATTAGATACAGTGGGTGCCTTTGATAACGCGCTACGGCGCTAGCGCACAAAACCCATTTGCTGTCTTGGAAAAGACGGCAGTACCGAGAAAGACTGCTTAGGAAAAGCTGCAGGAGCCAGGCAGCACTGAAATCCTTCCCATGTCCCAGAGGAAGGGCATAGTTTTTTGTGAATCTGTGTCACGTTCTCATCGGAACTGAAACAAAATCCTCACCCTTCCCTCCGACATCTCCCAGAACCTTGCGGTCGCCGTGACACTACAGATCTGAGCGCTATCACCCGCAAAATATCACTAAGCTTTGCTCTAGGAAATATGATTGCCGCCGTGCATGGCTGCTACAAAATCCATCTTCCTCTTTGAGGAAGGCCGTGGGAGCCAACCGGCACTTACTTTTCATAAGTTTTCCTGACAAGTCCTTTAGTGCAAAGGAAGGACTGTTTCTATTGGATACGGAGACTTTGGAAGCATCGTGAGGTTCGTCTGGAACCGGACAGTCCTCTACCTCGGGGTTTTTGGCCCCAAGACTACTGCCGCCGCCGCTGCATCCGCTCCTGGCCCCACCATCTTGGCAAAGCAGCAAACGCTTCTGGAGAGTAAACGTTCGGCCGTTCAGTCCAGCCGTTGATAGCTTGAGAGACAAAGGCTGGGCCAAATCCTCTGGGCGTCTGTCAAGCAACTCGGAAGAAGAGGAAGAGGGAGAAGGCGAGAAGGGGTTCTCGGGCCGCTCCGTGATGGAAGGGGAGACCGGCTCGGCCAAGGAGCTGTGCTTCACCGTGTTCAGGCTGTGCGCGCGGATGCGGGACCAGGTGGTGGAGTGGAAACTCTCAGCCTCCAGCCAGAAACGGACCAGGTGCTCCATGCGACGCAGCTCCATGAACTGGATAAAATACGGGAGGGCCACCGGGTCGCGGAGGACCTGCTCGAGTGTCTTGGAAAGGCTGGATTTGGTCTCTTGAGCCCGATAGTCCAGGGAGGATCGGCCTAACAGCAGGGAGAGGAGCGGAGGGAGGGGACAAGAGAAAGAACGTTGCTCCAGGTTGTGGGGATAAAAGAGATCTCCAATGTACAGATCCGAACTTTGAAAGCCCGGCTAGGGTGGGATTTCTGTGCCTGGCAGATTCTGGGAACATAACTTTCCAAAGCACTGAAGGATGATGGTAGCAAAGCACATCCTGCTATAAGGCATTCGAGGGGGCTTGGGGCTCTGCCAGAGAAGCCTCCCCGGCTGGGCTTACAGCACTGAAACTGCACTGCCTCAAACCGACAGAATTTCAGAAGGACTTTGAACGCATGTCCAGGACCACAGCCTGAGGCTAATTCAACAGACTCTCCCAACCTCGCTGGACGTGCTGTTTCAACTGTCGAATATGTGCGCATTTATAAGTGCATAAACAAGGCTTATGCGTAGCCTTATTCATTCCTGATGCCTTCGCTTGGGACAAAAAAAACAACAACTTAATTCTCAGCACCTGCCAAGTCAAGCCACATTAATCAAACAAAATGTGGCTGATCCAGCACAGAAGCTTGCAAACCTAAAAGAACGCCGTGACTCTGTTTCCATATGATGCCACGCTGCGGTTTATGTGAACCATGGTTTGTTCTTTAAGCCATGTTTTGTGCGAGCCATGGTTCAATCCTTAAGCCATGGTTTATGTAAGCTATGGTCTCTTCCTTAAGCCATGGCCTGCGAGGACCACAACACCCCCCCTGCCAAAAAAACCCAAAACAAAAAAAAACTTTACCCTGGCCCATTTCCAGTTTGCCCCTCTTTTCTGCCCATGTTTGAGGGTGGAGAGCGGTGAAAAACAAGCTAAGGATAAGCCATAGTTGTGGTGTCCACTCTCAGGCCATGCCATGCTTCCAAGTAGCCAGTTTTTAAGCCAAGGCTTGTTTACTGTGTGGCTGATTCATAAACCACAGTTTATTTGCAGGGAAATATTCCATAAACCACGAGGCACCGCTCAGCAAACTACACCCAGCTTGGCCTCCTCTTTAAACTGGGCAGTGACTGTGAAGAAAAGTTTTCCCCCACCAGTTAAACCAGGGCAAGGCAGGGCTCCCGGGCTCACCCAGGTCTCCAAAGTGAGCCGCCTCCATGTGGCTGGGCTGCTTTTTGAGGGCAGCTGTGCGGCTGCTGGAGGACTCCATGTTGGCCGAGATGGCGTTGATGGCCACGGGGCTTGGTCCGGCAGCCTCCTGCAAGGCATGGCTTCGGGTGCTTCTCTGTGGGGAATGTATTGGTGCTGTCGCTGGAATAGGAGAAAAAGGAGGAAGGGCAGGAGAAGAGGGTTTCTATTTCCCTTCAGGAAAGGCACCAAGGAAAATCTGGAATTTTACATATGGGCTTTGCCCCCTTGTACTGGAGCCACTGTGCTACAAAAGTGAGGTCCTTTATACACCCAGGGCTAAACTGAGAGGTAGTTACACAGAAGCAGGTCCCCAAACCATCAGCGTGATCAAGGCAAGCTAAAGGGCATTGCAGGTAGAGCAGAAGGCAAAAAATGAGCAAAACAGGTGTAAAGGGGGAAAAACTGCACATTGGGCAGAAGACACTGTCCAAACTGACGTTGTCATGGCTTGATTCAGCTGACTGTCCCATGCTGCCCCACCGAGGGAAAAAAAAAAGCAGGATGGGGGGGGGAATCTGTGACTCCAACTAGTTTCCCTGCACTGCAAAAGCAGTCAAAAAGGACAGGGCTGATGACCCAGCAGGGCTGAAAAAAGGGACCCTGGATAACAGGGATTTATGGGCCCTGATTTAGGCCGATCTGCCTAATCTTGCAGGATTATTTTGGAGACCACAACGTGCTGACTAAGCTCAAAACGAGGGGAATTTCTGCACCAGGAACAGGAAGCGCTCCAAAGCCCTTTAGCCTGCTTTGGCCGCACAGACGGTTCGGGCACCGACCGCTTCCAAATGCCCGAGGCATCGCAGGTGGCCCCAAATCTATCAAAGCTAAAGTAAAGCACCAACTTCCTAACCCTCTCTTACAACCTTGGGACTTCAGCCGTCCTCTGCCCACTGTGATCAGCCTGCGCAATTCAGAAGGCGTCTGTTCATGTCGCCCGGCACTGGCCTCTGTCATGCTTTCCAAAGCCCTCTACGCCTTGAGTCGCAGAGTGGCAGAGGTCTGTTCATGTCGCCCGGCACTGGCCTCTGCCATGCTTTCCAAAGCCCTCTAGAGGTAACCTTAGAACGGCAGAGTTGGGTAGAACGGCAGAGCTGGGAGGGACCCGATGAGATCATCGAGTCCAGCCCCCCCCCGTCAAGGAGGCCCCGTGAGGGGGAATCGAACTCCCAGCGTCTGGTGCTGCGGCCAGAGACCTAAGCCAAGGAGCTACCCAGCAAGTCATGTAAAAGACTGCCCACAGGTTCATCCATAAAAGGTAAGAATATTCCATATATTTATTATATACAGAATCAAAAGAAAGAAAAGATGCAGTATACAAAGTACTCATCATATTTGTACAGGCCGCTCTTCCTGACCACCTGCCACCCAACCTTTTGCCCTGCAGAACTCACAGAATCCATTTCAGTACATCTTTGCCACGCCACACTTCGCTTCCTCGGTCTGTGAGAAAACCGGCCGGGCTCACCTCTGGGCCATCGCAGCCCCCCACCCCAAGTTTATACCTACCCACCCTGACAAATATGAGAGCCGGCATTTACCTTTAATGGCCCTGGCTTCTGTCACCTTCTCGTGCTCTTTGCCTTTCACTGAAAGAAAAATAAACACAAAAACACATTCGTTAGGAATCCGCTGCCACTCAGGAGGGCAGAGAGCTGACAAACCATTGTTGTCACGTGTCTGAAGGAAGAAAGGAGGCAGAACCAAAGAGGACTTGCTGGAGGAAAGGAGAAAAGGAGCCCTGAGTGCCACTGGCGAGAAAGCCGATTCCCGACTCGTTTCCTTCTTTCTCACCAAGAGAAAGAGGGAAACGAGGCAGGAATGCGTGCTCCTCCTTTGCCACAAGGCCATTCCAGTTCTCACATATAAACCTCCCCTTTCCGTCAGGATGCTTGGAACCCAATTCCATCCCTTCCACATGCCTACACCATCACCCTTCAAGCATTTTTCAGCTAGTTCAAGCAGCTGGCCTCAGAAACACATGCTACGGGATTGCCAGGCAAGTTCAGTGGAGTGGCAAAAGGACAGCCCTTGGGCCAGCGAGCCCACACAGACTGCACAGCAATCTCTAGCACCACGAGACACGGCTCCTTGCGTCCCTGTGTCATCTCATGAATGCTCCTCCTTAAATGGCTGGGGCACTTGCTCATCTCACAGGTAGCCTACTCACTCGTTGCCTCCCCAGTGACCAAGCCTGACCGTCCACCACCTTCCCTTGCGAGACGACAACAGGAATGACCGGAGGATCCCCAGCATATGGACTGAATGGGTCCCTGTGACAGATCTTCGCATAGTTAACTGGTTAAGCGCTGACTTGTGCCGCCTGCTTATGGGAGGAGGCTGATCCAGGGAAACATGCCCAGGTGCGACTGGCTTCTGGCGTGGAATTTAAAATATGTTGTAATTAGGGTTACATTAGAACTGGATGCTCCCAGCCTACAGGACATCCTTACACAGCTCAGCTCTCGGAGGCATTTTTGAGCTCCAGCACACACATTCTCCCCACCTTCAAGGATGCTGCTGATCTGGTCAAAGAAACAGCCTAAGCAAGACAAGAGACCAGGTCAGTGCTAGCGTGGTGGGAATGCTCCTTTTGTCTCTCAAGTGCAACACAAAAACACACACACCAAAAAGCACTAACCACATCCTCTCCTCCTTTGGCAGCTTCCGCTTTCTGTGCTGCTGAACAGGACTTCCAGTCAACATCTGCCTCCAATTTCTGAGCCCCTGGCAGTGGATCTGCGGGCCGTTGAACTGGCCTCGGGGCACTCCTGCCTCCTCTCTCCTGTCCCCCCTAAAATCCCATACGGTCCCAACAAAGACACAGCCAGAGCTCAGATTACCAACGTTTTGCTTTTGAGAAGTGTGCTCTGAAAGAGCATCAACAGCATTAGGAAGAAGGCCCAGCAGATCTGATTGGGAACTCCTGTAGCTTCCTTCCACAGCGTTCCCTTCATAATCAGACTTTCATGGGACTTACTGTATCTTAATGAGTAGTCGTGGGGGGGGGGGAGAAAAGAAGTTCCCACTTCTTAAAACAACAACAACAGAAGTATGAAATTTACTTTTCAAAAATGGAAGTACAGTATGCTACAGAGAATTGACCATTTAAAATACAGTATTATCTCTACCATTTAATGAGACTTCCCCACCTCCCAATCTCTCTCTCTCTCTCTTTTCTAAAGCAGGGGTTAGGGATTTCATATCCTTCCCGAGGCTGACTACAATGTCCATCAGTTCCCTAACCAGCATTCCCAATGGTGAGGAACACGGGGAGCAGCGGTCGAAAACCACCCGGTGCTGAGTTTTGCCACAGGGACTTGGTTTAGCATTGGAAGGAATTCTAAAGTGCTAAAGAAGGGCATGGATGCTCTGACCCTCTCTGGTTTGAGAGCTGTGCGGGCTCCGCAGAGCTAATGGCTGTCTTACATGCTCCCCCTTCCCTAGCAAATTTTAATCCTCACAATACAATAAATTCAGTTCATTTAAGAAGAAGAAGCCAGCCCAAGATCTCTGGGTAAGCACCTGGGTGGATACTGATTTGAACTCGGACTCTGCCACTCTGCTGCCTGCTGTATCTCGGCCATGTGCTTAACTCTGCCATCTTATCGTGTCACAACTAATTACTACTCACACCAGCACAGGAACGTCTCACGCGCCCTGTGTGTCTCCAGTTACACAAAAATATTCCTGTCATACCGTCAGAGCCTCAGGCGGGAGAGGATTACTAACAGAACAACAGAAGCCAGATGCATTTCTCTACAGCAAAGATGTTATGACCAATAAATATGTTTAAAATGTACTGACAGAGTATTAGATGAAGAGTCACAAACTGTCTTCTCCTGATAATTCGGGATTACAGCACTCTTAGTTATGTGCTATCTAATCAGAATTGACTTATAACGACCCTAATGAGGTTTTTTGTTCCCAATCTGGTGTGTCGTGGATAGGGTGATGGACAAGCACTCTGGAGACCAGAGTTTGAATCCCCACTTGGCCACAGAAACTCAATGGGGAGTGGAACTGGGTAAAACCACTTGAAACTCTGCTAGAGTCATGTAAATTGGTTCCAACTTGATACCACATAACTGCAATAATAGGGTTTTTAAGATAAGTGAGACATTTAAGGAGTGGTTTTACCAGTTCCACCCCCCAATGCGTTCCATGGCCAAGCGGAGACTCGAACCCTACTCTCCAGAGTCCCAGTCTGTCATTCTACTCTAGAATACCACTCTAGGTATCTACAGCTCTCATAATCCCTCACCCTTAGCTATGCTGACTTCGGCTTCTGGGCCACAAAAAGCTTTCGAGAGGCAGAGAGGTCCCCTTCTGCATTAAAGAAGTTAGGGGGTGCCTTCCTGGAGGTCTCCCATCTGAGTACAAACCGGACTTGACCGTGTTTGGCTTCCCAAACCAGATGAGATTGGCCTGTTCTCATGGGGTGTAGAAGATCAAAAACCACACAGACGTAAGAGTCACAACACTCCACTTAACATTGGGCAGTGAAGATAAGGAACCTCCCGCCGGCCTGTTGCAAAGGATAATTAGGTGCAGGCAATGAGCCCAGAAAAAAGTTCTCTTTGTCCTTCCATGTTTTTGTACGCCATTTCTCTCCCAATGACACACATGATCGGGTGGCTATGGACTTCTCTGTGGGCCAGTAAAGCCTGTAAACAGATGTGCCCGTCTGGATGGCCATGCTTGCTGGTCCCAAGGAATTGGAAACATGTGCTTAACTTCTCTGGTTTCACCAAAGAAAGTATCTAAGCATTATGGGGGCCGACCAGAGATTGTGGGGAGTCCCAAAAAGATCTGACGCTCGCTTATAGTCAGCAATATCAGATCTATTTTGCACGGAGCTGTAAATCACTTTGAGAACCAGAGGCAGTTTATAGATTGCATATGCAATACAAAGCAATTTAAAGAAAAGATATTCTTAATAGGGCCCACGATTAGGCAAAAATCATGCAAGCTTCTGAATTCACAAAACTCTTTTACTGTGTCAAGAACTGTGTGAGACAGGAGTCCACCAAATGCACCTGCCCAACTAAACATTTCATTTTGACACATAAAAAAATGCTAAAGCAGATTAGCCTTTCTAATGACAAAACCTTTTTTCTTGATCTTCTCAAAACCACTCCCCCACTGGTTTAGCAGTCCCATAACACAGGCTTGAACCCTTGAAAACACTGTCAATTAACATCTGAGAAATCTGGGCTGCCGGTTTAAACTCTTTGAAAATCCAACATTGAAAGAACACCACCACCACCCCAAAATGGCCAACTGTAAAAGCATCACTGCAACTTCTTCTTGATGGTGGTATCCCTAAATATAGTAAGACAACAAGAAAGAAAGAAAGAAAGAAAGAAAGAAAGAAAGAAAGAAAGAAAGAAAGAAAGAAAGAAAGAAAGAAAGAAAGAAAGAAAGAAAGAAAGAAAGAAAGAAAGAAAGATGTTGCCTCAAAACATAACTTTCTCAAGTCAACACAGTTGTGAACCAAAAGTACCTCCTAGTCACATGAACGCTAGAGGTAAATTTTGAATTTAATTTCCTGTTTCTTTGTCAGAGGAGGGAAAAAGGAGATACCAGTAAGTGTTCCCTGCCCCACCCTTTATTGTTCTGAACCGTTCAAGTCAAAGAAAAGTTTGTACAATTTGAAAGTCTGGATTAAAGGTAGGAAAGAAACAAACCTCAGAGCACACTCTGGCCCCCAAGTTCAAATGTGGGGAGGGCTGAAGGAAGGGTGACCTGGTCACAAAGCACCCTCCCTCCAAGATCCTTGCCTTCAAGGGCTGGGATCCCAAGCAGAGTTTCAGAAGGACCTCGCAGAACAGTTCTTTCCAGGGTGGCACCCTTCTGAGGCTGCCTGGACTGCAACTCTCATTAGTTCTAGAAAAAAGAGCCCAGGAAGAGGGGCGACGGCCCCTGCAGACCAATAAAACAAGAAAATTACAATGAATATCATCTTAGAACTTCAGAGCTGGAAGAGGCTCTCTGGATCATCCAATTCAGATCCTTTTTAAATATTTGTATGCTTACTGTTTTAGCTTTTAAATACTGTTCTAACGACGTGAGCCGCCTTGGGTCCTTTTGGGGAGAAAAACGGCACAGAAATATATTAACAAAATAAGCCCACTGGGGAATCAAACTCCCAAAGCTAAACCACTCAGTTATCCAGCACTGAGTAAAGAGTTCATACTGACACTCACAACTGGCCTCCTGCTTTGCAACAGGGAAGCAAATCTTACCAAAAACCGAACATACATACATAGATGTAAGCACACCCATACAGTACACATTATGCAATCTGCAGTTTGTGAGCACAATTCCAAAAATGTTAACAGGCTTGTTTTATTATTCCACTTCACAGTTCTTTTTGTCCTGCACCCTTCTTTTTGAAAACAGAGGAGAGGATTCAGCCCTGTCTTGAAAGCAGAAAACTTGTCTTTGTTTCTGGGTAGGAGCTCAATGATAGAGGCTAGGCGAAGACACAGGCGGGGTTCCCTGCGGCCTTCCACAGACCGTGAGATTAAAGCTCATGACATCCCTGACCGCTGGCTGTGCTGAGTAGGAATAATGGGAAATAGAGCTCTCAGCTCCTCAAAACTACTCAGAGAGCTTCAAGGCTGAGCAGAAATTCTCACCAGTTTTCCTGTGTCCCAAAACTGCAAAATGTACCAGTCTGTTAGAAAATTTAATTGGGTAGCTTGGCTACCCATTTGAGGCATGTCAGGAGCCTAGAAATTGAGTGGAAAGCAGTGAAGAACCACCACCACCCCAAATATATATAAGCTGCCACATACTGGGTGACCACAGCCGCTGAAAGGTCCTTAGGTGACCTGTGTGACTACTTAGAGCCTGCAGTGTCTTCTCCATTCCCCTGTCAGAAACTGGCTTTTTGCTCCAAGGGCGCTTGGTCTATCTTAACTCAAGAAGCCACCAGAACACATCTCAAGTTACACAGTAGGCTTTACGTAACCAAGAAACTGTCTCCTCAATCTTCTTGTTGTGGCTGTTTTTAAAAAGGTTCCTTTTCGAATCTGCAAAATATTTTGATTCTGCTTACGTTACTCTGGATCATCTCTCGCTCTGATGGAGCCGAAGTTAAGCGACGGCAAATTCCCCCAAGTTAGAAGGCTGCTTGCTGTTGGTGTTTTCGGAGATCGACCGGCAATTCGAGTCGTGTAGCTGAAATTATTAAACCCAAGGCACGCTTCTGAAGGAGTGGGCGGCAAGATTCCTCCTGCGAACACATTCACCCACTGGGCTGCCTTGGGTTTGGAGCCTCAAGCAAAGAAAGGCTACAACCTCGTGGAAAAGCAGCTACAAAACCTTCTTGTTTTCCTTGTTCAAGGGTGGCTTAACGTCTTGATCTACCAAATACTGTGCAACCCATTCGGTCTTGGCTATCGTTGGCCATCCTTTGCAGCTGGAGGATCCCAAATCAGCTAGATCAAGGGGGAAATCCCACAACTTCCCAATCTTTTTTAATTTTTTATTTTATTTTTTTGGGTGGCTTCTCCACAGTCAATGGCCAGGGAAAGCCAGCTGCTCGGAGGCTGCCTGCACAAGAGGTGTTCAAGGACACTCACTCATGTGCATCCTTCACAAGAGGATTAGCTACAAAGGCTGGAGCTGAAGGGTTATACCGCATTCAGAGGAAACTTCCAAACACGCTGAACTATCCTCCCACACGCACGCATCCCGGAATCCTCACTTCGGCTCATTTCTTCTCAACAACTTATTGCTTAGATGCGACACAGACAGTATCTCGTCAACGGAGCGGAACACGTTCTCTGTCACACTGAGGGTGGTGTTGGTGGCTTGGTTGTAGCGGCTGACAGGCTCCCCCCCCCACGACATGCTGCTGGAGTTGCTCCAGCAATACCCAGGCTCCCAATTTCCCATCTTCCGGATCCATCAAGTCCTCTGAGAAGGACCCGGTTCCACCCAAGGCACCCTGTTCTCATATGGTACATCGCTCTTTTACAGCTTCCTAGAAGTCTTATAATCTCCAAGACCCATATTTTCTATGCCCCTCAGCGTCTCCTCTGCCCGGCCGGTGGTGCCTCACCATGCAATTGCCTCGATCCAACTGCATCCCAAAGTAATCCTGACCCTCCGCCCCTACCTTGCCCTTCCGGTCTGCAAACAGAACTCCCCACGTCATACACACACCCCGGGTCCCTCACCGACCCAACACACCCCACAACCTCTCCCTCTTTCCAAACAGAAAGCGCCGGCCTTCCTCCTTTTTGGGGATATCCCTCCCAGCCCCCCCCTGCGGCCAAGAGTGCAGAATCCTGCCCAACAGATCTCCCTCTTTTGTGGGGCCAAATCCAGTCACCCCCATTCTATTCAGGCACCCCAAAAAGTCCCCCCTCCATCTCCATTAGGACTACCCTACTATTCTTTTCCCCACTCTTATCACCCCGTCTGCCAATCCAGACCCAAAATCCTAGACAGACCCATCATCCTCAACATCTTTCACCCCCAGACATGCCCACCGACCCTCCCATGCCCCCCCAAAATCTGGGAAGGCAGCCGTTGTTTAGCCTGGGCACCCTCAAACTTGAAGGCACCGTTAACACCTCCCTCCCTCATTAGAAAGCGCCCTCCCACGTGACCAGGCTCCGCCCCTTTCTCTGAGGGCGCCCCCCCAAGCACAGGGGGAGAGAAACCCCCACCCCCCCTTGCTTTCCCTGGGGTCCTCAGAGGGCAGCCGGGGGGGGGACTCCCGTCCCTGCCAGAGGGGGACCCCTCCCCAAATAAAACCTATGGGGAGGCCAAGAGAAAACTTCCAAGCCTTGAACTGCCACCCAAAGGACAGGACATGGCGGCCGGCGGGGCGAGGCGAGGCGGGCCCGTCCCGCGTCCCTCAGGGCTCCCGAGGCAGCGGCAGCGGCGCCTTCTTCCTCCGGCTCCGGCGACCGTGGCCGCCTCCTGCCCGCCTCACGGAGGAGGCCGCCATCTTGTCAACAACCGTCGCCGCGCAAGCTGAGGTGAGGGAAGAGCGCGCGGGGCATGTCGGGAAGGAGAGGAGGAGGGGCGAGGCGAGGCGGGCCCGTCCCGCGTCCCTCAGGGCTCCCGAGGCAGCGGCAGCGGCGCCTTCTTCCTCCGGCTCCGGCGACCGTGGCCGCCTCCTGCCCGCCTCACGGAGGAGGCCGCCATCTTGTCAACAACCGTCGCCGCGCAAGCTGAGGTGAGGGAAGAGCGCGCGGGGCATGTCGGGAAGGAGAGGAGGAGGGGGGCGCTGAAGAAAACCGGTAACCGGCTTTTTTTTTTAATTTGCCCTCAATTGGCATGGCCGCTCCGGCGTCAGGAGAGGAGAAGGAGGGGTCCGCCAATCAGGAGGCGATGTCTGCCTTCCTCCATCTTGGGCGAAGGGGTGTGCCTCGCAGGATTCATACGTAGAAGGGAGGACATGTTGGGTGAGGGCACGCCGTGCCGCCTCGCTGGGGGGAACGCTGAGAGGAGCCATCTTGGGTTCGGGCAGGCCCTTTCTTTAAGGGAGGATCGGAAAGGAAGCATGCGCAGTGCAGAGGGGTGAAGCAGCAAGGCATTTCGGCAAAGGGCAGCGTCGCTGAAGATTTCCCAAGGCTTATCCGGTTCCTTTGGGCGGCCATCTTTTAGAAGGGAAAAAGGGCGTGGCTGGATTTCGAATAACTATTTCTAAGCGAGAGAAGCTTCTACTTCAGCCATTTTTGGGAAGGGCAATTCACCTTCTGAAAACAGCCGCAAAGTAGTGCTTTTTTTAAAAAAAATTAACTACAGTTCCCGGAATTGGGGGATTCTAGGACCTGTAGTCCAAAAAAAGACCTCCAATAACTATCAATGGAGATAATTATAAGGAAACCTTCCCGAAGCTGATGCTTACCGGATACCCCCTGGATGACATGTCCCATCATCCCCAGCATTTAATTGTTTTTAATTGTTCCTAGCAGGCAGGATATATCATATTGAATATCCTTCCCAAGCCCAGCAATGTAAATATGTGGTCCAATACACAGACACAGCTTGACTGGCCTACCTCACAGGGTGGGCGGGTTGCTTTTTACTAGACAAGAGCAACATGGCTTCCGGAAAATAGTATTTGTACAACTGCTAGGGAACATGAGGCCCTCCAAGTGTTGGTAGACTACAAGTCCCATCATCTGTCACCGTACTGATAGGAATTATGGCCCACAACAGTGGGAAGGTTCACAAAAATAATTTTATATTGATTTTTTTTAATTCAAGGCAGGCTGGTCACTCCACATTGGCTATCCTCTCATTCACACTCACCGGCGCACACTCAGTCCCCCAATCTTCCCCTTTTCTGTCAGACACGGATGGATGAGCGTGGCCTACCTCACAAGGTCGTTGTGATTGGGAGGATTAAATAGAAAGGAGCTGGCAAGCCAGGTTCACTGCCCCAAGGTTTGAGCAGATAAAGAAGGGAAACAATGTCATGAAAATCATGTCCATTTGCCAAATTGTAAACAGACCTGACCATTAACAAATATTCATTCATTCGCCAGAGTGGTTTTTGAGCCTCCCAAACGGCTCTCTTGAACGGCACCAGAGGGCGCTCGCCGACCTTATTTTTTCCGGTACCTCCTTCAGGCTTTTAGTTTAATTGCTGTAAAATAAAATGCATTTCTAGGAAGGCAAGCACCTTCTACAAGGGCATGTCCAAAAAGTCTTCGTGCCGATGGATATATACGGCCTGCCTTCTGGAAAACGAAAAATAGGTTGTGAGTTACCCACAAACAAACACAACCTGTTTCGTTTGTAAGTAACTCCCCAGTTAGTTACTTTGGCGTCCTTCTCCTTGGCTGTAACTCTGGTGGGACACTTTTGTGAGCCCCCCCCCCATGGCACTAACTGGCAATCAATTCAGGTCGAACCAAAGGGAGTCGGTTGTTTACATCATGCATTCTTTAACCGATGGAACTCACTGCCACCAGGTATTCAGGGTGAGTGTGTATTTTTAATTTCTGGACTTCATGTTTTAGTTCCCTCCACAGTTCCTTCTCACAAGAAACTTAAGGCGCGTTTCTTTCCTCACAATGAGGGAGGTTAGACTCCAAGACGGCTCATGATCACCCATTGTTACGTCATAGCTAAGTGAAGATTCACCCATGATAACTCTAGGCAGCCTTCCTTACTCTGAGCCCTCCCCCTGTTGGACTACAAATTCCATCACTTCTGGCCACACTGAGTAGGGCTGATGGGATCTGTCATTCCAACTAGCTGACAGAGGGTTGAAGAAAGCAGCGTGAAGGAACTACCATGGTCTGGGGATGTATGCCTTTCATATTAAATTATTCTGTTTTGATTTTTTTTTTTTTTTGAAGTTCATGTTTTAAAAGAAAAGGGTATTCCCTCTGTTCTCAAGGCTGCAAGCCTTTGTTGACCCCCTGGAAATGAAATCCACGCAACTTGTAGGAAAACATGAGACTACATCACCCAAATCAAACGATTTCTTGAACCCAGGTTCGAATTTTGACTTGGCTGTGGAAAGTCACCCAGGGGGGATGGGAGTTTACACTTTAGTGGCAAAGTTTAAACATCTCACAAACCTGAAACTCTTATTTTGGTCACAATAATCCGGAAGTAGTTAAGTGGCACGTAAGTAATTATTGAGAGTGGATATGATGGAGTGGACACAGTGTCAGGCTAAGAGTCAGGAGGCCTGGGTTCGAATCCACACTCAGGCCTTCAAAACCCACTGAGCAAGGGTATCAACTCACCTTAAAATATATTATCTATCTTATTAACCCTCTTAATCAGGATTGACTTGACAGCCAATTCGTTAATGACTGAGTTACCCGTGTGTGTAGACAGAGGGTCAAAGCAGGACTCTGGCGCACTGGGTTTCAAACCTCTGCTTGGGCATGGAAAGATGGCGAGGGCCGGTCTGGATAAAACCTTGTCGAACACCTCACCAAAGCCCTACCTTGGGGGGGGGGAGCGTAGGTGGTGGTGGTGGTGGTGGTGGTGGGCTCAACATCAGAGCCCCCATGAATCATCAAGAGCCAGCCAGCTGGATGCCCTTGATGGAGGCTCAGTCTGTGACTCCGAGGACCTGGGTTCAAATCCCACCTTGGCCAAAAAAAAAAAAGGAAAAGGAAAGGAGGGGACTCTCTCCTGGATCATCATCCACCCTTTCCTCGAAAACCCCTACGGTGCCTGTGTGGCGCCGCCGCCGCCGCCGCCGCCGCCGAGGGATGCCGGTGAGCCTCCCCTCCCCTCCCCTCTCTTCTCTCCTCCCTCCCTCGCCGCCTCCTCCTCCTCCTCCTCCCGGGGGTCCCCACGTGACGGCGAGAGGCCGGGATCCGGGCGACGCCCACCGAGGAAGGAAAGGAAAGGAAAGGGAGGAAGGGAGCCTTGGCGGCGGCGGCAGAGCAGGCGGCGCACCTGCTGCGGGCGGGACGGGCGGCGCGGAGCGGAGTAGAGCAGAGCAGAGAGGGACACCCCCCCTCCTTCGCCCGAGGCAGGGCGCACAGCACGCCCCCACCGCCCCCGCTGCCGCCTCCCTTTTTCCTCCTCCTCCTCCTCCTCGCCACGTGGGGCGACCGGCCAGCCATCCATCCAGCCGGGGGCCTCCCTCCCTCCCTCCTTGCCTCCCTGCCCGCCTGGCCCCGGATCCCTCCTGCTCGGTGCGCCCCGGCTCGGGACCCCCGGGCAGGGCGCGCCGGGCAGCTGGCGCCCAGGGACCGGCAGGAGGCCTCCTGCTCCCGCTCCGGCTCCCTTTCCCCTTCCTCGTCCTCCCTCCCGACCCCCGGACGTTCAGCGGCGTGGGCT